TGTTACAAATTCACATGTATGTATTTTTGGCCTCTGTCAAATCTTTAGGTCAGCTTTATCAGCCACAAAAGTTAAAAAACCACAAACCCCTCATTGTGCAAAATAACATGTTTTCTTATATATAAAGACAGCATGATGTGGTCTGACTTATTCACATTTCACTTTTACAATATCCTGTTGGGACAAACTACATTATATATAACCAAAAAAGCTTTTATAACAAAGGGATCTTGGTTTATTTCTATATCCATCCATTCATCCATTTTCTTCCACTTTCCCTCTTTCTAAATCTGTGACAAAAATCCAATCCTGCAGCTTGTTTCAGATAAGCAGCGATACAAATTAAATTTCCTCTAAAACTGTTTAAGAGGTGAGTAAGCGCAGATTCAGGTAATGGAGCAAACACAGGCTCTTAAGCAGAAGTAATGCTTGAGGAGAAAAAGGCCTCTCAGCGAAACTCATTCAAGCCCTAAGAGGTTTATTTGAGCTTCAGACCTGCACCTAAAGCTGTTAATCACACAGTTCAGGGATATTATTACTATGATTATACTCAACATGTCATCTCCAATCTCAAGCCCTCTTAGTGTACAGTACAGCCAGGTAATGTGACGCTGTACGCCGCACAGAATACAGGAGAATTTTGATTTCAACATATTCAAATCAACTCTTAGACATTGTTTCTTAACTACAAGAACACCACTAATGAGAGACAATATAAAGCACAATCGGCCGCATCGGAGTTCCTGGCTTCTTAAGGTGAATTGTGTGTTTTTGCTAAATGCCCATAGTCCTTGAAATGCCCTTGTTGTGTTTCAATGCAAGACACCTGTAGACAATAGTGTATCTGTTGAATGTGTGCTGCAGCTCTATCTATATTATTTCAGGTTAAAGGTGATGTCTGCAACTATTAAGCACACTATGAATACTAAAATTATATTTATTTTTGCAAAGAATATATATGTTTTTACCATTTGACCCCGTAGTACAAGATAAGATACGATATGAGAATCTTTATTTGTCCCACAGTGGGGATATTTTGATGTAATAGCGCACATACAGGACAGTAGACACACATGGAGCACATAAAATATACAAGAGAAGTAGCTGCCCTGCTTCTTGACTAGCAGTATTTTTCATAATAATCATAGTGAAACAGTCCCTCCCCTTCACAATTTGAGAAGTAACTGACCTTCCCTTTAAAGCACTGTGAATGCAAATGAGAAGTTAATTCAGACAATGAAAAATATGGATAAATGTGCATTGTTAAATACATTAACAATATATATATATATTTTTTTCCATATAGTGTCATGTAATATGACTTTAAAGTCATCATACATACATTTTTTACTGAAGAAAGACATCACTCTCCATTGCTTTCACCATTGTTATGTTTAATACCCTTGTATAATTACAGTTGTTTTATAATTAAGTCAAAGCCGCACTTTTTGAAATAGTTTTTTTATGTTTAAGTACCTTTTCCTTGAAGACTTCAGGTTGTTTCTTCACAGTACTGTTGCTGTGTCTGTATAGCGTTTAACCAGGTACACAATTACAATCTAGACCTTGAACTCTGTGATCTCTGGCTGCAGCGGTCTCTTCTCCGTACAACAGTTGAGTCTATATTTGTTGTGTTTTCTCTGGGGCCCCTGGTCCCAGCGCTGCTTCAGACCAACTGCCTCTCAGCCTTTTTCTCCCACGTCTTTGGGTCGGCACATTTTGAAGCCTCTACTCGATTCTTGCTATGTCCAAATTTAACACAATCCCAAGATACATGGAGAAAAAGTCTTTATGAATGTTCTTGATCTGAGAGAAACTGCTGCGGCTGCAAGTAATGAGTAATTGATTGACTGCGGAACCTTCCGCAGTCAACCATTGGTTTTGTATTTCTTTATTCCGTCATTTTTTTTGACACGTTTCACAGCTTTCACATTTTCAACAATTTCCACAAGTTATACATCAAAACGTTCCACATGTTTGGGAGATTATTGCTATTACTTTTGGGACTTCAGCGATTTCCGGTTTTTCCGCAATCGGACAAAAATCTGCATTGAGAATTCTGCAATGCATTTTAATAGGCCCATGCATTTTAATAGGACTTCAGCTCTTTCAGACATTTCTACAGTTTCAATGATTCAACAGTTTCAAGGATTCAACAGTTTTCAAGGATTTCAGCAGTTTCAAGATTTCAAGAGTTTCAAGGACTTCAACAGTTTCAAGGACTTCAACAGTTTCAAGGACTTCAACAGTTTCAAGGACTTCAACAGTTTCAAGGACTTCAGCAGTTTCAAGGACTTCAGCAGTTTCAAGGACTTCAGTGTAATCATGCAACCTAATAGGGATTTTTCCATGTAAACCAGTATAATGCAACTTAATAGGGATTTTTCCATGTAAACCAGTATAATGCAACTTAATAGGGTTTTTTCATGTAAACCAGTATAATGCAACTTAATAGGGTTTTTTTTCATGTAAACCAGTATAATGCAACTTAATGGGGATTTTTCCATGTAAACCAGTATAATGCAACTTAATAGGGGTTTTTACATGTAAACCAGTATAATGCAACTTAATAGGGTTTTTTCCATGTAAACCAGTATAATGCAACTTAATAGGGATTTTTCCATGTAAACCAGTACAATGCAACTTAATAGGGATTTTTCCATGTAAACCAGTATAATGCAACTTAATAGGGTTTTTTTCATGTAAACCAGTATAATGCAACTTAATGGGGATTTTTCCATGTAAACCAGTATTATGCAACTTAATAGGGATTTTTCCATGTAAACCAGTATAATGCAACTTAATAGGGTTTTTTTCATGTAAACCAGTATAATGCAACTTAATAGGGTTTTTTTCATGTAAACCAGTATAATGCAACTTAATGGGGATTTTTCCATGTAAACCAGTATAATGCAACTTAATAGGTTTTTTTTTTACATATAAACCAGTATAATGGAACTTAATAGGGTTTTTTCCATGTAAACCAGTATAATGCAACTTAATAGGGATTTTTTCCATGTAAACCAGTATAATGCAACTTAATAGGGTTTTTTTCATGTAAACCAGTATAATGCAACTTAATGGGGATTTTTCCATGTAAACCAGTATTATGCAACTTAATAGGGATTTTTCCATGTAAACCAGTATAATGCAACTTAATAGGGTTTTTTCATGTAAACCAGTATAATGCAACTTAATAGGGTTTTTACATGTAAACCAGTATAATGGAACTTAATAGGGGTTTTTACATGTAAACAAGTATAATGGAACTTAATAGGGGTTTTTACATGTAAACCAGTATAATGCAACTTAATAAGGATTTTTACATGTAAACCACTATAATGTAACCTAATAGGGGTTTTTACATGTAAACCAGTATAAAGCAACTTAATAGGGATTTGTACATGTAAACCAGTATAATGCAACCTAATAGGGATTTTTCCATGTAAACCAGTATAATGCAACCTAATAGGTTGCATTATACCACCAGACCAAGACCCAAACGAAGACTCAGACCACCACCAGATAATGACCACAGACCAGGTTTCCTTAGTTACAGGAACCAAATTGTTTCAGCGGTGAGGGGATTTTTCAGTTTCAAGGACACTTTCAATACATTCAGTAGTTTCAAGGATTTCAACTGTTTAAGAATTTAACCAGTTTCAAGGATATCAGGAGGTTCAAGGATTTCAGGAGTTTCCACACTTTCAACAGTTTCCAGGTTTAAAAAAGTTTCAAGGATTTCAGGAGTTTCAATGTTTCAACAGTTTCAAGGATTTCAGGAGTTTAAAGGTTTCAACAATTTCAAGGACTTCAGGAGTTTCAAATATCTATCAAGTATTTTAACAGTTAGCCTTTAAGTTTCAGATTTTTTTAGATTTCCACATTAGATCTGTTCCATTCGCAATGCTTCAGCATTGCAATTTTGAAATTTGAAATTTGGAGTTAAAGGAAGCCATTGATAATAGCACAAGTTTTATAGGTTTGTCATTTTGATTCTTGTGAGTCTGAAAACCCCAAACAAATGCAACAATGTTATATCATCCTTTTAACCTGTTCCCAACTCTCATTTGCTCGAGCAGAAATTACATTCCTAAATTTCTACAATTGACCTCTTCCTACTGCACATACAGCGTATACATACACATACATTTATGCATATACAGTACATACATTTTCATCAAGTGTTGATAATTTAAATGTTTGCACTTTTTTTGTCTTAATAGTTTATCACTAGTTTTCTCATGCATTAGCCGCGTTTCCACCGCAGGAGTTTCTGGTAAAAGGAGAGGGGAGAAACTTTTACAGGAACCTTCCTCTCCCTCGGTCCTCTCACTCAGTGTCAGTGTCTCCACTGCAGTAGGACCACTCGGCAACGTCATGAGTTTCGATTGCAGCATAAGCAAAACTCATTACGCCAAACCCATTATTATTATAGATCCATGCACCAAACCCATTTGTTAATTTTACATTCGTAACCGCTCCGATTGTTGTGGTCTTTGAGTTTTTTTATAGTCCTGCTTCAGTGTTTTAAAACTTCACGGCTTGTTTTGGAGTGTGATGAATCCCCAGTGCTTTGTGGTGATTTCGCCGCGATGCCTCAAACCCCGTCTGAGTCAATGCCGTGCTGTTGTTCACTGTTTCCAGTGATGTCTGCTAGGCTAATGCTGCTAAGCTCATGCTGCTGGGCTAATGCCGGTTGCTTTGCTGCTTTCTGCTGGCATCTGAGCGCCTGAGTCTGAGCTAGCTTTAGCCAATCAGCGCCAGGTTAACCTCAAGTCCCACCCGGGCCCAACGGCCCATGGAGGAGGGACTCAGTTGGGCCCCGTAAAAGTTCCTGTAAATCGACCCTGTGGGGAAAGTTCCTGCAGTGGAGACATGCACCGGCGTGGCTGGCCCTGGAAAATTACCCCAAAGTTCCTGCGGTGGAGAGGCGGCTTGTGTATTTTTGGCCTCTATATTTAGTCAAAGGGCCCTCAACTTTTTATGCAGAAGGTAACATGTTTTCTGATGAGATGGCAAACTATGGTACTATGGTATTATTACTAGTACTATACTTGTGGCCAGAAAGCCAGATCCCGTCAAAACTCGGATGCTGTGGAGGGCAGGGCCTGATTAGTGCTGTGATGGGAGACCATGGGAACACCAGGTGCTATAGTGGCGGTAAAGTGCCTGTTGTTGTGTTCTTAGGCAAGACACTTCAACCACATTGCCTAGAACGAGTCTGGTGTGTGCCTATACTGGTTGCCTCACTTCTGTCAGTATGCCCCAGGGCAGCTGTGGCTGCAGTAGTAATTTATCACCAGTGAATGAATAAGGACATGTGAAGCGTATTTGATTGTCCTGAGAAGCGCGATATAAAACCGATGCATTATCATTTATTATTACTAAGATAGCAGTGTTGATTGTGACCAGTTAAGTATTATTAGACATTTCATGTCTGAAATGTATTTTGTGTGTGTGTTTTGCAGTGGCCCATGCGCAGGACACTCAGCAGCATCACTCGTCAGAGAAGCCCCTGATCCAGTGTTACAAATGTGGACAGCCGTGTAAAGGAGAAGTCCTGCGTGTCCAGAACAAGCACTTCCACCTCAAGTGCTTCACATGCAAAGGTACAAACACATACAGTGGCAAGAAGGGTCTTTGGAACGCACTATAGTTAAACCACAAAGAAAAAAAGCTGTATGTACTCCAATGCATGTAACTATAGTCGTGTTTCTGGCTCAAAAGATGTTTGGTTCTATATCACTAGTTTTCACATGCATGTATTTTTGGCCTTTGTAGCACTCTCGCTTCTCACCAAGAAGGTCCTGGGTTTGTATCCCAGTCGGAACAGGGCTTTTCTGAGTGGAGTTTGCATGTTCTCCCCGTGTCTGAGTAGGTTTTCTCCTGGTGCTCTGGTGGCATTACAGGTGGGTCAATGCAGAGGATAATATTCCCTACGGGGATAAATAAAGTGCACATTTACATTGACACTTTTTACATACATGATTCCAGTGAAGCTCTAAAGAACGAGCAGGAACAAATTTAAATTCTGTGAGATCTTGTTTGCATCCTGACAACAAGCATATTTTCACTTCATAAATGTTGTGATGGTTACGATAGCACAGGGATCTGCAGGGGGGAGGTGGGAGAGTGAGAAGATTAGCAGCTTCAGTGTTAGGTTTTAAAATTCATTGTTAATTTGATACAATCAGAATAGTGATGACATAACCGCCACACTTTTACTTTGATAAAATGAAAATAACAAGAAGGACACCATTCAGGAACTGTCCATGTCCTGGACGATAAGAATCAATTTTTGTTTGTTTTCCCCATTCACTTCACATTAGTGACTGTAGGTACAGGTCATATCTGCAGGAGAAAAGCCAATGTAAGAGTTCAGGTTTTGAGCAGTAAACTCATCTGTATTTAAAACAAAGGAACCTGGATCTATAGCAGTTTGGTTGCATCACGTGTTTTCACTGGCCTCTGTCACATCTCGAAAACAGCTTTTTTAGAAATGTATCAAATCAGCTCTCGGCCCAAAGACTCAAATATTGACTCCCAGGACACATTGTACTTTTAAAAGCCACTTTCTGTTGGGACAAACAACATGTATTATTTATGAATCGAAAAACTTCCTCTCCAGCTTTAGATAATGTACGGCTTTTAGTAAATCATTAAGATTGTCATGGCAACAAGAGTATGGAGCCAAGATATGGTGAAGAAAAGACATTGTGCAACAATTAATTAAGTCGTTTTATCTTGATTTGGATGCATGTTGACATTCTTAAAACAAGATGTTCAAATGGAACAACCAGTTTTAGTTTTTTTTTTTCAAGCACAATATAGCATGTTGGGAAAGCTTGTTTGAAGAGTAATTAAGTTTTACCAAATTTGGGCAAGTTTATTGGCATTTTTTGCAGTGTTGTTTTATACCCATAATAACCACAAAAATATGTCATATATTATTAGTGCACAAAGCTGCAGTAGGCATTTACAATAGTATGTAACTTTGGGGGGCTACTTTGAACGGGATGGAGGCTCCTGATCTAGATGCAGTCAAATTAAAATGTAAGATCCACATAAATGAATAATAATAATCTAACATAATAATCTAACATCTGACATACTGTTTTAGTGACGTAGTGGAGAGTAGGGACTGCCTTGTTTACCACATGTACTTGTGCATGTGGCTGAAGATGCAGCTCTTCTAATCTGTGGTTGGACTCCAGTAGTTGAGCTCAGAATAACTCCTCATACAGAGATTACAGACCTAAATCTGGACTGTAGGAGTGGATCGAGGAGAGCAGAGGAAGTGTGAGAGAAGCGTGAAGCCAAAGCTGACACAAAAAGGTCCAAAAACTACACTCCATAAATGAAATGTTGAACCTCCGTTTCCACAGATATACATTTATAGTTTATACAACATTTTGTGAATTAATTTAAAATACAATGGATAGAATTAGACTATTCACCCTGGTAGAAATTATGATTTTATTGGATATTTTTCAGAGCTGGGAACTGGGGTAAAATCCAACGAGTTCCTCGCCCTAAAACAGTTTGTATAGTATTTTTGGCTGCTGTCACATCTTTTTATCAGCTGAAAAAGATTGGTAACTCACAGGGATCTTTCTGACATGTATGCTAAATGCTTTTTCTATTAAGATGAAGAAAAAGTTTGGTACCCCAAGAGATTTCTTTTCCACTCACTCTGGTCAGATGAAGACATTTATTATGTTGAGGATGCTTGCCATTCAGACATAAATTAAGTATTTGTTTAATCTGTTTTTGAGAAATTATTTGCTGATTGCGACCTCTTAAATTTCTGTTTTGATTAGATTCTTGCAAAAGTGACTGCATTGTTTTGTCTGGTAATGACTACTTTGTGAATATATCCAACAGCTGTCGTCAGTGATCACATGAAAACACAAATTGAGTCAAGTTGCACCACACAACCTCCTGAAAATCTGCAGATACGGCTTGAATTGCTTTATCCCACTTCTGTCCTCTTTCTTTCACTTTCAGTTTTTCACTTTTAATACCTTGATCCTTGTGCCAAAAATGCTCTTTATATGATGATAGCGTCTCACATCTGTGCTAGAACAGAGGTGACAGTCTATTATCTTACAGCCTAATCCCATCAGCCCTGAGCCCTGATACAGTTAGAGCTGATTCCCCCTCGCCCTCTCCATTCAGCCACGATTTACAAATGTTACATAAGAAGAATTATCCTCCGCTATCTCCCAAATCTAAATTATTTTCCATCTCCTCTGTATTGTGACGGTATGTGAGCCCTGGAGCACCCTGCAGGATTACATGTGGAGGATGGATGTGTGACATTATTGAAAAAACTTTTATTTGAAGAAATAAGAGGGAGTAAAAGTAGTGGTGTGTAGTCGTAAAAACCCTGATCATTTAGATATTAGTATAACTTGGTGATTATTACTATTACTACTGGATTATTTTCAGCTAAAACAAACACAATTACAATGTTTTTTCTAACTTTATGTTTTTTATAGCTGGAAAATCATATGTAATTTATTCATGTAGATTTTGTGATCATATATAATCTAATTACCTGTATGGACATTTGTGGGAAACTTCAGCAGACTTTCTCTTTGCAGCTCTAGGAGTTGTTGTTCCTTTAGTGGTAGGTGGTAAAGCAATATTATAGAGAACAGTACTGAGGCATATTTACGCAATGACTGAATGGATGGAAACAAATCACGTGTCTGTCTCTTCACTAGTATATCAAGAAAAGAACTAATACCCATATGTCATTGTATTTATAGTATATTGTATAGTATTCATATTTGCATACTGGGTAATGGTACCAGTGACTTGTCAAGCAATCATTTCATTGGATATATTAAAGTTGAAGTAGTAGTAGTAATTATTTTTCAAACAGACCCATTAATGAGTTAATATTGCCATCATTTGTTTTCATCAGGGGAAAGTGATATAATTAAAATACAAAAGTGTTTGCTTGGAACATTGTACTAAAAACACTGGTGGGCGATAAGTGGCTGGCGCTCCTGTCAAGTACTTCCAATGTGGCTGTGGTTTGTTTTGAACACAAATGACATTTATGGAGGCAATTTAGTCATTACTCAACGATGAAATAGATTTTTCAATTTAGTAACGCATCACCCCTGGGGCATTTGGACTGTACAAGGCCGTTTTAAGAAGGAAATGCTAGTAAGACATTTGATAAAAGCAAACAAGCAACATTGGAAAGTAGCGGTAAATACTGGTTTTAAATTGTTCTCAGCTTGGATTTAATAACATGCATGAATGTGGCTTATTTATATATATAATTTTTTACAATGTACTTTACATTTTGCCATAAATTCTCCGCGCACAATAAAGGTTTCTGAATCAGAGGAAGCCGGATCGATTTTTCACTGTGACAAAGGACCCTTCCTGCACCAAAAGAGAATTGATGTGGCATTGAGTTTTGTACTTTAACAATGAGGCTGCTTGACTGCATTCGGTGGTCGTATCTTAACCATGAACAAAACCACTTATACGTTTTTTGAGGTCACACAGCTTTGAGTTATATCATCACATTTGTCCATTTTAGCTTATAATATACAGTATAAGGATGTAGAAGTTGTGCTACGTAATATTGTGATTTGATGAGATGTAATATTATTCGTCCCAACCGTACTGTAAATATTAGATAGACAATGCTAACCCGTTATCTCTATGAAGCCTGATAGGGAAGGGCTCAGGGACGAAGTTATGCACCAACTCGCTCCTGTTGACTTACATTGAAAAGTAAACTCCTCTTGTTCAGTAACCGTCTGTGTCACACTCACCATGTTGGTCTGAACAAATTTGTGGTTTAGTGCTTTCTCTGATCCTGTGGTTATTTTCTTTTATATTGACTTTGTAAATCCAGTTATCAGATTCCTTCATTGTTAGCGACACATCTACCCCTGTTACGGCACTAAGCTAACGCTGTTGGAACAAACGCCCATATAAGGAAATGGGCTCCAGTTAACTTATGCTCAAAACATCTTCTTCTGCATTCGGCAAATACTATGGGTGACAACAGCACTCTGTCAGGGCACTCCTAATTATCGACCTCTGATCCCAACCAAGTCTTGTAAAAGTAACATTTTATGAACAAATCGGCCAAATACAGCTAAATACATACAGTATATGTGGAAACTAGTGATTGAACCAAACTCTTTTGAGAGCCCTGGACTATAGTCAGATGGCTTGTATTACCTATAGTAAAAAAAAATTGTGATTCAAAAGTTGCGTACCCCAGCTATAACTCTTGAGTTATCTTAAGCTCTCCATTTCCTTTTACCAAATTGCCGTGACCTGCAGCCAAACCCACTGGAGCATGTTCCGATGTTTAGAGTGGCTGTTGCTGTTCTGAATGACCGCAGCTCACCCTATCTTACGTTTCTGGGTTTTTTTCCCTTTTTTTACAGTGTGCGGTTGTGATCTGGCCCAGGGCGGCTTCTTCATGAAGAATGGCGAGTACTTGTGCACCCTGGACTATCAGCGCATGCACGGCACACGCTGCAACGGCTGCGGGGACTTTGTGGAGGGAGAGGTGGTCACAGCTCTGGGCAAAACCTACCATCCGGCCTGCTTCGTCTGCACCGTCTGCAAGTAAGGGATTATATACTGTAAGGGGTTATATGGAAAATATCAATGTTGCTTTACATATTAGGCCCAAACCAAGTTGAAATAAAAGAGTACATTTAATGACACTAATTAATCCAAAGAAACATACAGACTTAACAGATGTAGATCATACCCGAGAAGAGTCCTATCTACATGATGTCTACGCGTCTTTCAATCTGACAGAAGACATGTTTTATTGTCGATGGTAGAGACAGCACGAACAACACGAACAACAGAATGCAAGTGTATTATACAGAGCGGAGGCATGGAGACCTCCAATCAGCAGCTGCCACGGTGCCATGTAGCTTGGCCTTCAGATAGACAAAACAAGGGAAAAGTACTGGCTTCTGCACATTGATAGAATGATGAGTTTAACTTTAACAAAAGTTGCTTCAAAGTGTTATGAAATCTCACAGTTGCATACCCAGACCAAGAGAGCTATAAGTAAGATGGCCCCTGTCTATATGCTCCCGAGGTCACACTGGATTGTTCAGTTTGTGGGGGCAGGCAGAATGCAGGGGGGCCATGGAATAATTCATTCAGGTAATTCATTCAGGGACATTGAACAAGGCTGTGTTTTAACTTTCAAAATCTTCACATGTTGTATATGTAAAAATGACCAAATAAATAAATTAATCTACTGCAATCACTCAAGGAAATACAGGCATTTATAATTATGCAATATATTTGAATCCTGCTTAACTGTTGATTATTATTATTTTTGGAGTTTGGAGGATTAGAGGCTGCTAAAGCTGTGGTACGTAACTTTCAAACCACAACAATGGAACTGTGTGAAAAAATCCATGTTTATGTTGGATCTAAAACAGTTTTCACATACAGTATTTATTTTAATGTATTGATAGGACCACCCTTTTTTCTGATGAGAAAGTTAGGTACCATAGCTTTAAGACCTTGACTCATGAAATGGATTTTAAACTGCGGGTCACAAAGCGCAGGATTGAAAGCTTGCATTATTAAAATATTGCTGACTCCTGCCTTGATTACAAATTCAATAAACACAGTGAAAGACTAATTAGATAAATACAATAGCTCTTTGTTATGTCTCTGTGTCTTAAATTATCAAACAAAAACAAACAAACAAAGTAAGTAAAAAAGAATATTGTAACTTTACCGTAAATATGTTTCCATGCAAGCATTTAGTTTGGAGTTAGGGTTGAGTGGTTCATGGAGCTCCGTAAAGTCAGTATTAAAACAACACAACGGCTCCATTTAAAGTGGAGGTCTGAGAAACTGGGATCGATGCTGCGTTTATGATGCAGGAACAGTCAATGTGAAAATCAATATCTTCAAAAAGGCTTTATTACAATCGACACTGAAGTCTTAGTGCAAACAATAATGTGACCGTCAGATTCTGCAGCCTCACATTAAACTTCTCTTTAAAGGCAGTCGTATAACATTTATCAGTTTGTGCTACATACTGCACAGTTTTGTTCTAAAACTCGTCCGACCACATTAGTACCTAATATTTTGTCTATTAGGGGAACAGTTACAACAATTTAAAATGTATCTTAGTGTACCTGTCTTCATATAATCAGTGAACATGTGTGATCTAGAGGAATTGAGTGTTGGAAAGTTCATCCCCAAATCTCATCATATGAATTTCACAGCTCTACTTTATCATTACTTTTGATGGAGCTGAGCAGAAGGTTTAGTTAAATCTCTATGTTTTTATTGCTATTTTTGGGAAACAATAATATTCTTAAAGCAGGAATTTTCTTTTGCATCGTTTTGCAATAACTGAAGTATGTAAGAGGTGAAAATGTGCTGTGTTTCAAAATAAATACACATAATACACAAATAATCTAGTAAAAGATCTTTTAATCTCGTAAAAGCTATATTTATGACATAAATTAGCTTTACAATTATGGCGTACCCATTCCCGCCTTCTAGAATACTGTATATACACATAATAAAGATGTCAGCAGTGCGGGGCCAGTGCGAGTGATGAAGGTGATGTGTTATTGATGCAGTGGTTTAAATGGATACAGACTGAGACTCGGGTCAGCGACAGAGACCACATGACGTGTGTGTCACCACTTTGTCATCTGAGTAAATAGCTCCCACAGGCACAACACTGTCACACTGTATTAAACCTCCGTGTCACTGTGTTTCTCATCACAAACTCCAGTCCGATGACACAACTGCTGGTTTAGTTTAAGATAAGGTCTGGTTTAGTGGTACCTGCTTTTATATGGTTATGGAATGTGCAAGATTTATACACTTTTGCCAATAGTTTATTGAATTTGTCTTGTGAAATGATCTGTTCTCTTCTTGTGCTGCTCCTCGATTACTTTTCTTGGCTCAGGGTCGGGTCACTTTTGCGACCAAAGAGAACAAGAGTTTAGAGAGTAAACCGATTATGGCAATAAGTCTACCCTTGTAGAAGTTATTTTAATTCATTTAGGTTCTCGTCTCCAAACTACTCTTCTCCTAATTCTACCTAAGTGTGAACATGGCCTTAAACTATGTACAGTGTAAAAGAAAAGCGTGGCCTGACATCTGCAATTACTATGTTTTAATATTGTTAAAAAAAATAAGCAAGCCACATTTATTTGGATTACAAAATCCATACGCAAAGTGCTTTGCAAAACAAGATCAATCATACAAGCACAGTGCATTAAAAAGGGTGAAGATGCAATCCTTGAGTTGTATGCGGCAGCTAAACAAAACTTGCTGTTGCACCTTGAGATGTGTTTGCGTATGTACAGTAAGGTGCGTTATAAATAAAATGCATTATGGAGTAACCGAAAAAAACCATGCCTCACAGTTGCATGTAGCACTGTAGCATGATTGTGTTTCTAGTTCTACTATTTGATCATTGTTAGTAACATTTCTCACATCTATTCTTCAAGTCTATTTTTAGTTTGTACCTGAAAATAGAGCACCTACATTAACTACATTTCACCCCCACTCCAGCTTGTGTGTCCTCTTTCTTTCATCGTCTGGTCTGAATAATGTGCTTGTGTCTCGCAGACGACCGTTCCCCGCTGGAGACAGAGTGACCTTCAACGGGAAAGACTGTCTGTGTCAGTACTGCATCGAGCCAATGTCACCGGGACCCAAGGACGTCCTGGGCTCCAGCAGTAAGTACATTCAGCCTGGAAAAGGGCGTGGCACGTGGCTGAACTGGGCATTTAAAGCTGGGGTACCTAACATTCAAACCACACAACAGGAACTATATCAAATCCATCCAACTAGTTATCTGCTCTCAAAACGGTTTAGTTGTATCACTAGTTCTCAAAAGGCAATTTTTTAATGCAAGCTTCAGTTAGACCCGCCTCCACATCTTCCTGATTGGACGGAATAAATTCACATCCTTGATAGACAACCGAGGCCCCTCACCATTTACGTCTAACTATTCTCCTCCAAGGTGGTTGGTAGCCTCCATGGTGATGAGATCCGCCCTGATTATCTAAAGTCTCTGGATGTTGTAGGACTGTCTTGGCTGACACGTCTCTGCAACATCGCGTGGCGATCGGGGGCAGTGCCAATGGAGTGGCAGACGGGGGTGGTGGTCCCTCTCTACAAGAAGGGGGACCGGAGGGTGTGTTCCAATTATCGTGGGATCACACTCCTCAGCCTCCCCGGTAAGGTCTACTCCAAGGTACTGGAGAGGAGGTTACGGCCGATGGTCGAATCTCGGATTCAGGAGGAGCAGTGTGGTTTTCGTCCCGGTACGGAACACTGGACCAGCTCTATACTCTCCATCGGATACTCGAGGGTTCATGGGAGTTCGCCCAACCTGTCCACATGTGCTTTGTGGATCTGGAGAAGGCGTTCGACTGTGTTCCCCGGGGTGTCCTTTGGGGCGTTCTCCGGGAGTACGGGGTCGGGGGTCCTCTGCTGAGGGCCATCCGATCCCTGTATGACCGGAGCCAGAGCTGTGTTCGCATTGCCGGCAGTAAGTCAGACCTGTTCCCGGTGAATGTTGGCCTCCGACAGGGCTGCCCTTTGTCACCGGTTCTGTTCACTGTATTTATGGACAGAATATCTAGGCGCAGCCAGGGGTCGGAGGGGGTCCGGTTCGGAGACCACAGGATTTCATCTCTGCTGTTTGCGGACGATGTTGTCCTTTTGGCTCCAACGAACCAGGACCTGCAGCATGCACTGGGACGGTTTGCAGCCGAGTGTGAAGCGGCTGGGATGAGAATCAGCACCTTCAAATCCGAGGCCATGGTGCTCGACCGGAAAAAGGTGCCTTGCCCTCTTCAGGTGGGTGGAGAGGTCCTTCCTCAAGTGGAGGAGTTCAAGTATCTCGGGGTCTTGTTCACGAGTGAGGGAAGAATGGAGCGTGAGATTGACAGGCGGATCGGTGCAGCGTGCGCAGTGATGCGGTCGCTGTATCGGACCGTTGTGGTGAAGAGGGAGCTGAGCCGAAAGGCAAAGCTCTCGATTTACCGGTCAATCTTCGTTCCCTCCCTCACCTATGGTCATGAGCTTTGGGTAATGACCGAAAGAACGAGATCGCGGATACAAGCGGTCGAAATGAGCTTCCTCCGCAGAGTGGCTGGGCGCTCCCTTAGAGATAGGGTGAGGAGCTCAGTCACACGGGAGGAGCTCGGAGTAGAGCCGCTGCTTCTCCACGTCGAAAGGAACCAGTTGAGGTGGCTCGGGCATCTGTTCCGGATGCCTCCTGGACGCCTCCCTGGGGAGGTGTTCCGGGCACGTCCCACCGGGAGGAGGCCCCGCGGAAGACCTAGGACACGCTGGAGGGACTATGTCTCTCAGCTGGCCTGGGAACGCCTTGGGGTCCCCCCGGACGAGCTGGAGGAAGTGTGTGTGGATGGGGAAGTCTGGGCGTCTCTGCTTAGACTGCTGCCTCCGCGACCCGGCGACGGATGAAGCGGAAGAAAATGGATGGATGGTATTCTCCTCCAACAAATCTTACTGGTGATGCTTATTTAAAGGAGAGGGACTGATTCAAATATGTTTTTTATGAAACATACTTAATATAGATGATACTACAGGGTCAGATGATCAGAAATATGTATTATTTTCAATATTGCAGACATATCCTTTCACCGGTTTATGTTATGTTATGTGAAGTTGTTGTCTTAATGTGATTTTTGAATGTAATTGTCTAAATGTAAGAACTTTACACAACCTTTCCTGTAAATATTAGAGACATTAAGACAAATAGAAGCTTTTTACTCAGTGCACTTAAGCTTGATAGTTGCAGGTTTAGATGATACTGTATATCATAAAAAGCTTTCAAAATATGAAATAATGTAACAATAATGTAACAAAAGCAGTAAAACTTGCAGACGTGTAATGCAATATTGTTAAATTCTATTGCCACTGTTTGTTATTATTTGTTTAAACTGCCTTAATTTTCTCACGACTCGTCTTACTCCCAATGATGTAACATACAGTTTCACCCAGGAAGTTTCTATTTACTGAGTGCAGTGAGCCGCCGTAACTGTATGAATAGGGTTGAAAAAGCAGTGTTAAATTATGCATTTCCACTGACGTTTGCCAGAGACACTCCCTCTCCTCCTCTCCATCTCCTGTGTTCCTCATCCCTCATTACTGTCATTCCCTGCGTTGGTATTTGAAAAGCTTTTAGACAAGGTTCCTATGAATAAGACATGCTGATCCCCTCACAGCCTGGTTCTGCCTGACGTAGTTAGCCTCCCTGCTGGTGGTGACTTCAGAGACTTCAGGTCATTAAAGCACAAGATGACGACAACATGGGATTGTTCTTTCAAAAGATTGCAGGCCTGGAGCAGTTTGGAGCTCGGGGGCTGTTCTTGCATGTACTCATGTTGTAGATAGGACATTGTCATGGATGTGAAAGTCATCTGAGTGAGCAGAGTGGAGTGAGTTTTGTCTCCCTCTAGTGTTGGAAAAGACAAACAGAGTGACACAGGCAAAGGAAGTTTACTTGAAGAGCACGTCTGTCCACATTCAAAGTACCAAAGGATGCTACAAAATCACTGTACAAAAAAAAGAATATAATTTTTCAGTTTGCAAGGAAAGTTTTTGCAAGTTTAGTTTATGCCCAGGCAAACATTCTAGTCATTTCACAAGTGTTTAGACGGTGTGAAAACAAATCTGTTCAGAAGTTACCGCACACCTTTGTACACAGCTCCACTGTGGTGTGAATATAAAGAGGCCATAATGAGGCCTTCAGGATGCTGCTGGAAAAGCCCAGGTCCAATGTATTTTTGGCCTTAATGACTTTAAGAACTCTCTGGTGGTGGCGCTGGTGAACCTCAGATCTCGTGGTGCGTAGAACCAGTCTCCTCTATTAAAACACGAGTATAGCTGTCTTTTGTAAGCTTGTCTGTATTTCTTTTATGAATCTGAAGTGTCTGTTTCTCTATCTTGAGCTAACTTGAATGTTGTCAGAGAGGCTCTCACATCTTCAGGGAGACTGTTGTAGATCATAGCTGTGTCTTTGCATCAGTCTAAGAGACTTCCTGAAGTTTTCAGAGACCGAAACACTTAGTTACAAAGCACATAACAGTTGCCTTTATGACCATCTTCCATTTAGTTTTGTTTTTTATTTGTCAGGGAACATTCTTTCCATCAGCAGTCTCAGTGGACAGCTGAGACTGTTGTTGTGACCTTAGGCAAAACACTTTACCCACATTGCATAGTATGATCCAGGTGATTAAGTTAATGAGGGGGGTCAGAAGGGCCGCAGAAGCCACCGCAGTGTGTGAAAAACAAGTGAAATGGAAAATCAGAATATGGTTCAAAAGATATTCTATTTCTGTAATTAAACATGCAATTTTAAACCAATTTTACAGACTCATTACAGGTAAAATTACAGGTGACATGTCAAGCCTTTGTTATAATTTTGATGATTAAGGCTTACAGTACATTTAAGTATATTACATTTATATTCTAATTTTTTGGGGTATTTTTACAAGCTGTGGGCCAATTATCAACAATATATCAAATAAAGCACTGATATGTCGATTTAAGTTGAATTTAAGATCAACCTTTGAGCAATGTTCTAATTTTACGAGTTTCACCTGTAGATCAGTACTGCTGGGATTTTGCAACGAAGCCAAGCATATCAGTCTGTTTCTCCTGTTTCTCCATAGACTGTGCGGGATGCGGTCGGGACATTAAAAACGGTCAGGCTCTTTTGGCTCTGGACCGGCAGTGGCACCTGGGCTGCTTCAAGTGCAAGGCCTGCTGTAAAGTGCTCACTGGAGAGTACATCAGCAAGTGAGTACGACACTGTGCTACTTCTATCACTGCTGCTAACACTCAAGTATTTGTGCTACATTATATTTTAGGCAAGAAATGTAACCTAAAGGAGACATATCACGCAAAATCAACTTTTTTTTTTAAACCTTGTCTCAACGTTGTTCTCTCATCAAAACAGACCCGAAGTAGTTTTTAGACCCATCCATACTAGCATCATACTCAGTACTGTTCTGGTCTAGAGCTGTTTTCTGCATTTTAAAAATACAAATGCATGTTTGTGTTTGCAGCCAGTAATTTTCAATTTTGCAAAGTAAACAAAACAAATTCAACTCCTCCCCCTGATGGTAGCACAGGGAGATACATATTATTATAATTTTTTGAACCATTTACTTTTTTGCCATATATTTTCCACATAAGATATTCCACATTTACCATTAATCAAGTTCGCAAGATTACTGCCCTGTGCTGATTGTGCTCTGTCTGTGGTGCTCCAGGGATGGCGCCCCCTACTGTGAGAAAGATTATCAGATACATTTTGGTGTTCGGTGCGAGGCGTGTCATCAGTTCATCACAGGAAAAGTACTAGAGGTAAGTGAGGAAATACTCAGAGTTCACACTTGTAAACACTACGATAAAAGAGACAAAACATGAGCCTGGATCCATAATTGTAAGCCATTTTTCTCCCCTCACAACTGCAAATCTTGATCATTTAATGCAGAAATCAATAGTGAAAAAATGTCTTACTCATCTTCTGGTCTATGTTGGTCCTTTGACGATTTTTTAGCAATGCTCATATTTAATTTCCTTTTCAGTCTACTCTTTCCACTTCATATTCTAGACTAACATTGTCGTCTTGTGCGTCCTGGGGAAGTTGTGTCAGACCAAATATGTGTAATTTGTCATGTGCAAATGCGCTGTAATCCTCGGAGTCTGAAACCCAAATCAGAGTCGAACACGAACATTTTTATAAGATAGAACATCTCTCGTTTTGCACCCACGCAAAGTAAATTATATAAACATTACGTAAACAGAAGTCTGATGAGTCTGAATCCAACCGTAACACGGCAGTTATGAAACAAATGTTGAGGTGTTGTTAGCGTCAGATACACACCGCATGTTCAAGATGTTTTCAGCCTGTGTGATATAGCTTTTGTTGATTTTTATAACCATAAAAAAATTTAACTGCAGATTTAAATTAGAATAAGACTTTGGTTGGAGACTCATATGACACTTTCCTTTCTTGCCATAACATCTCACCCATGGCCACATGCACTGATGCTTTTGTCTGCTTATGTTGTTCTGATGCAGCTTTACAGTCTAGAAGATTGCATTTGTAAGAACATTTAAACAGCACTATAATCATGCAGTATTAGCCATGTTTACTTGTAAATTCCAAACATGCAACTGTAAGAACAGGTGTGTTACTACAAGCAACAATATCAATATAGAAATAAATCAAAAGTCTACAGCAAAGATAATACATGACCTACATATAAAAAGGTATCCCACCCTTTCCCCAACAGGAACTTATACACTGTACATCAGCCATTCCCAAACTCAGTAACATCGAGGCCCCCTTAAAAATCTGACGGGTCTGCGTGGCCCCCCAAAATAATAACCAAGAAGACAACATTAAGAATAGGCTCTTCTGGTTATTTTATTTTGGGGAAATAGCCTCTGCTACAAACATTGTAATACAAAAATGATTACAGTGGATTATTCAAGTCAAATAATGAACACAAATATTTTAATATTACAAACAAAACATTATAAATTTAACATTAAATAATTATATTATTTTTTTTATTTTTTTTATGACCTCCCGCGGCCCCTCTGCAGTACCCTTGCGGCCCACCAGGGGGCCGCGGACCCCACTTTGGGAGACACTGCTGTACATTATACTTTGTGTCCTTGTTTCTCTTCTGTAGCAAGACTAATATCATAATAAAACTTAAATAATCTTTAAAACTTAGTCATTTAAATGTTTTCTTAATTCATCAAAATCCACTCTTTATAGTTCCTCTTCATTGAAACTCGACGCAACGCATGATCCGGTCTGAACGCGCCATTAGACATAAACTCCACACACTCAACACTGTTGTGTTTTCTTCTGAGCAGAGACTGAGGTGTTCCCAGACCAGCTGTGTGACAGTGTGCCCTGTATGAGCAGCGGCTCTACTCCGAGTTCTTCACATGTGTCACTATAGTGTCACAATAGCCTTGAGATGTTGTTTGGTGTGCCTTTGTAAATGATCTAATATCATCTGACTGATCAAAATAATGTGAAATGAAAATAACGTGAGAAGCTTGCTGGATTATTCTTTTTTTATAATAATATACATTGATAAGAATAACTTTACATTGTTAATAGTGTGTATCAGTTTCAGCTGGTCTCAAAAGAGTCTTCTCACCCTATCTCTAGGGGGGCATCCAGCCACTCTGCTGGTGACGGGTCTTTATGATTGTCATAGATTAGGAGTTCTATGGTATTTCTTCCTTTGCAAAGCAGTGTGCATATCAATCTGCTTTCTCTAATAACTCTATTCACTCCTGGCTGGCCACGGGTGACATTTTCAGATAGCTTTCAGACACCTGCTCTCCTCAATAAACCTCGCCTTGTGGTTTTACTGCTGCAAATCCAATCAGACCGAGTTATGTATCATTAAATTGGACCAAAATGTCAGAGCGAGCAGTCGGGCTTAGTTTAATCCATTTTATATCCAGTGTTCACCAGAGACCACAACTCAACCAGGACCAGCCCGAATACCTGCATATTCTGGCTGCACTCTCTGATAGGCTTTTGTTTACAAAGCAATTCCAGTTCATTCCAATAGTGAAGTAATAAAGAAAGCTATATGTCTGCTATTGGCTGACAAGATTATATATGCATATGACATTGTCTGAGCAGCTGGAAATGTAAGCACTCCTCCATCCATTTGTCTTCCGCTTTATCTGTTGCCGGGTAGGAGTGTAAGCAGAGACGCCCAGACTTCACTATCCATACAGTTTATGATCCATACACACTTCCTCCAGCTCATCCGGGGATATTTTTAGTTTTAGTTTAGTAGAGGGTTCAATCTGTAATTCTGATGTTTATTTTCTTTGCTCATGCTTTTTAATGAAATGAGAACATTGAAACACTGTACTTATGTCAGTCACATAAAGTAGTTTAATTATTATCGTTTATCGCATATTGTTATATTGTTTCTGAAAAGATACATTTTCATCAAAAGCATTTATCGTGGCTTAGACAAACAATTCAATTCCACCTCCACAAAACATTCTTTAGAAAATAGGAATCTATATTCTCTCTCACTGAATAATATTTTATAACTAGCCTCCAACACTGAATGTAGTAGATTCACTGTCTGAATATTGTTATTTGGTGGATTACACTATTTGCTTCCTGGAAAATGCACTCATGAGTCTTGGCAGCCGTATTGTTACACGCACCTAGAGTCCATCGATCGCCATAAAATAAGAATGATTGAATCCAAAATAGGTGTCTCATGTATATTTTTACAAGCCCTCGGGGAGGATATAATGCATATTGGGGTAATAAGTAAGTTCAACGTGTCGCTTCAGTCTCTGTTCACTGCAAAATGTAAATGTTTCTCGTATCTCACTGGACCATGCCCTCGACTGAACCGCTGGAGTAGATTCAATTGAGATTTTATTCTTTGTAAGTGACGTTAACATTAGGAGGGAAAAGACGGAACATAGACCTCCATCAGGGATTTATTATACTTTGTGAGTCATTTCTGGTTTCTTATTGCACTAGTTCCTAACGACTTTCAAATCGAGTATGTGAATAGTTCATTTGCAAAAACAGCTACAGTAAGTAACATTAGAAAAATATCAACTTACAACTTAAGTCGATTAAGTCAGATATGTTTTAGTGCAAATAAAGTTTCACCCTCTTCTTTAGCAAAATCTTTCAAATGTACTCCCAATTGTAAACCGTGAAGATCGTAGCTACTGTAGAGGAACACACCTTTTTGACAAATTTTCAATACAGACATTTCTGTTTTTGCCATTAGCCATAAGGAAGATATCATTTGTTATTATTATATTATTTCAGCAAGTTAAAACTTTGCAACAGATCTTTGTCATAACTTCAGTTACAGAACAGTTGGTACATTACACTTTAAATAACCCGTGTATTTGTTGTATTTGTTGCAGGCAGGAGACAAACACTATCATCCCAGCTGTGCCAGATGCAGTCGCTGTAACCAGATGTTCACAGAAGGAGAAGAGATGTATTTACAAGGTGAGACATGTATAAATGTTCTTTTTGCAATTTGTGTAATTAATGAACATGAGGGCCGGCATTGCAGATTATAAATAATTATGGTATAAGTTAAAAACACTGTGGAATTCTAATTGGATATTTCTCTTTGAAGTCAAAAACATATTTTCTGGCCTCATTCTCTGGTCAGATAGGATTGTGTACGTAACATTTCATAAACACACTAGCCCATCACATTCTGTCGTCATTATACATGTCTATATTTTTTAAACCATATGCATACTTGTAAGAAAGAGCCCTGTGAGTCACAATTTGAAGCGTTGGGGTGACAGCTGATTGGCTGAGTGAGTGTGGTCTTCTCCTTTTTCTCTTTTCTATCTGAAAAAGCAGATCTTAAGTGATTAAAATACATTCATGTAAAAACTAGTGATAGAACCGAACTATTTTGAGAGCTAGGAACCTGTTAAATGGATTTCATACCCCATCTTAAAGTGGTTCTCACCCCCGCTCCTCGGAGCTTACGTTACTCACATTTCCTGTTCAAATCTTCCTTTAAATGGGCGTAGCCTGGAGGACTAAAGGGGGCGTGAACGAGACTGGGCCGTTTACATTGCTCTGGGCGGGGGGCTGCTGACGTCAGGTCCAACTTGCAGACGTCAGGTCCAACTTCTGCGCCAGTGTTGGCGCCAGATTAAAAATTCAAATGTAGTAATACAGGTCGCCAGCAGATGGCGCCTCAGACGGTTTTAGGCAGAAAGTTTAACTTTCAACTAATTTGCACCAAAGTGACAAAATTATGACCAGGATATGTAGACAACACTATTGGACACTCATTTATACCGTTTATCAGCAAAAAAAAGTGGATTTGAGGGTGAGTTGCTTTAAGTGTACCATTAGAACTATGTAAAAACAGAGAGAAGTAGTAGTAGACCATTAAAAACGAATAGTGGTTACTTTAGATTGTTTTATTTATTTCACCTTTATTTAACCAGGTAAGTCCCATTGAGATTAAGAACCTCTTTTTCAAGGGAGTCAGCAAAAGTTACACAGAATTACTTACAATTAGAGATTATAAAACGAGTTACACACAATATCATACAATTACAAATTATAAAAACAGTTACACACAATTTCATAAAATTACAGATTGCTCTCAATCTTGACCCAAAAGCATTACCATGAAGAAGGAGCAGAGTTTACAAAAGTTCTGTGCGAAAGGATCTCTCTGACTAAATGACAGATGTAAGAGGACAGTAGACCAAGCATTGCCTTGTATGAGATTTTCTCTTGATGACCACTATTGCACAGGCTCATAATGATATTTATTTATTAGTTTTAGTTATAGATTTCTTCTTTCCCCTCAGGATCCACCGTGTGGCATCCCGGCTGCAAGAACACCACCAGAACAGAAGAGAGACATAGAGAACGGGTGCGACTTTAACTTATTTTTCATGGCTGTTTAGACTCTGTCTGAAAACTATAGTAAACAAATTGGCGTATGTAATCTACCCTCGCTACCCCTTGCTGAGCTGTAAATTCTCCTATAGCCTCGCTGTTTTGGCTTTTGCACGTGTGGGTATGTTGATCGTGCTTTTGACTGGTTTAAAGTGGAATTTTCTGGGCTGGTGACGCACTACCCCTCTGTGATGTCCTGTGATCCCCTCTCCCTTCTTCCACAGCTACTTCCTCCGTCCCTCTTATTCCTACACAAAACGCAAAGGCAGGTACTGTATTCACTATTGGCTATGAGACAGCATTGTCCTCCTCCATGTGTCAGTTGTGCTGTCTAATAAAGCTGGGGTACCTAACTTTCTTTCCCAACATAAATCATCATTTTTGTCCCAACAGAAAGAGTCCAAGTAAAAAAACAAAACAAATCAGACTACAACATGTCTTCATCTTATTAGAACGCATATTATCTTTTGCATACTTGTGAGAAAGAGCCTTATGAGTCACTATTTGACATTTTAGGCTGAGAGCTGTCTTTTTGTCCTTCCTGAAAAAGACTTGCATGTGAAAACGTAAAGTAGGTGAGAGAGAGGATTGTTTTACATGATTCACTTTTGCGGTTTGAAAGTTAGGTACCCCAGCTTTAATTGCAGACACAATGCACTGTATGCTGCCCCCTATTGGAGGCTGCCTGCACTGCTCTTTGTGCATCATCAGAGCCATTCAGTGTTGTCTTCTTTGGAAAGTCATATCTATGAAATGGGGTGGATTTTGATCAGGCGCACACCATCTCTCGCAAATTCGCCTTTCACTCAAATTTCACTCAATATTAATTTGCTATGTTCAGGATTGCTGCCGCTGCTGCCATCTAAACAGTTCATTACATGTAAAAAGCAATACGATTTCTCAAGAAACACGCATTCATTTATTAAAGCTGTAAATGAATGACTAAATCATAAAATTACATGTCAGTCTGTCTCTTTAGTATCTTGTAAGTAAGGGGTTGTATCGCCTCTGTGTTTAATGTGTTCTCGGTGTTCAGCATTAGGTTTAACGCCGTAACATTTAAGTTTCTGGTACAGCGTATCGTCTTTGTAATGCCTTTTTCAGCAGAGATTTTGTTCTCACTCTTGGTTCAAGAGTTGCAACAATTTATCTGATAGAATAAAATATAATTTGTCTTGAGAGGTCAGAAACAAGGAATTATCATCAAGCTGCTATTTACTTTTAAACCTCATATCGTCTTATTTCCTTGAAAAAATCCTGACAAAAAACTCATAATCTTAGTCTGTTACACTGTGAGAAATATATATAAATAATACATAAGAATCACGTTTTTTAAATCTTGATTTGTCTTTGGACTGCAAACAAGGTTTTACAATGTGATTCTCATGAAAATTAAAATAAGAATGCATGGCCCATTGGCAAAATGTACCCAAATTCAGGCAATTTTTGACTGTTTCTTAACATGTTTTGCAGTGCAAAATGTTTCATGTATATTTCATAATAAAAAATAAAAAAAACATATAATATGTGGACTAGTTCATTTTTCTTGGAGTTGTACTAGTTCAAAGTTGGGACGCCTTCACGATCTCACAATGTTGAATGTTGATATTGACATTGTTGATACGTTCTCTTCCAACATGTGAATATGACAATATACGTTGGCCAAAGTAGTAGTAGTAGTATGATATTCACTTTTCAAATGGCTATTTCTTTTCTTTATTTTACAGCCTACGCGGTCGTCATCCGAAAGTATTTGTTCCCGACCTGGTTCAAGCATACCTGGCTCACCGGGTCACACCATCTATGTAAGTTATATTTACTAATAAAATATGATCGACAAGCAATTGCATCTTCTCTGTTTGATGTGCAGTGGAAACTCCCTTTGTACTGGTTTTGTGAGTGCTCCTCTGTCTCTGTCTGTCTCCCTAGGCAAAAGTAGACAATGAGATCCTTGATTACAGAGACCTAGCTGCCATTCCCAAAGTCAAAGCCATTTATGACATTGAACGCCCCGATCTTATAACATACGAACCCATGTACACCACCTCTTTGGACGAGCAGGACGAGAGGCGGGAGAGTGTGGGAGAGGTAACTGCCGAATGCATGCTCTTGTCTGTCTGCCATAGACTGTATATAGATGGACAGTGCTAACCCTCTAGCTCAATGAAGCCCGATAGGGAAGTGCTCAAGGATGGAGTTTTGAGGTTAAATACAAAAATAATAATAATTGAAAAGTAAACTTGTCTATAGCTTAGTAAACATTTTTGTCACATCATTTTCTTCTTAAATATCCAGAAGTAAATGTATTGTCTTTTGATTTACAAATACAATATATTTTGTTTTGATATTGTCTTGAGCCAAAGCACGGACCAATCAGATGCCTTCATTAGCAGGGGGAACTCAAGCTTGCCATAGCGACCATGTTAGCAACACGTTAGTTTAAATCTGCCCCTCCAATGCCGGTCACCTCGTCTGAACAAATGCCCATATAAGGAAATTGGCTCCAGTTAGCTTATCTTCAAATCGGCTTTTTTCACATTCGACAAGAACCCAGAACTCGGTTAGCCCCTTCCCTCATATAAGGTCTATGGTGTCTGCATGCACGCTGCTGTCAAGTCACAATTACATGGAAATTATTTTAACTGTGCGCTTCTCAAACTGTGGTGCCGCTACGGTTCTCAAGTCCTGCATTGGATCTGACTACGTTTTTGTGTCTTGTTTCCGCCGTAGCTCCACACTGCCAGGAGAGAACGTTCACCACTGCCTGATGACAAGGTATCCACAAGGAAATCACGTTATTAAAGCTGGGGTACCTTATTTTCAAAACACAAAGAATTGAACTACATTATAAAATCAAGCAATCTTTATTGGTTAAGCACATTTAAAACAGCCTAGGCTTATTAAAGGGATGTACAAGTGGAAAACAGCAACAATAAAAATGAAAATACATAAAACTAGTCCCTCGACAGCTAGCTAAGGTACATAGCAGCTACTTATATTGTATATTTTGTGTGCTGCACCATTGAAATTTCCCCACTGTGGGATGAATGACGGTTCTCTTATCTTATCTTATTTTATCTTACTGCTCGCACAACAGCTTGCTTCTATCACTAGTTACAGTATTAACATGCATGTATTTGTTTGCTTCTGTCACATCTTCAGCTCTCAGCCCAAAGGGTCTAATAGTGACTCACAAGGATTTTTTCTGTTAGACAAACAAAACATCCTAACAAAAAATGACAAACAAAAAAGTGACCGGTACTACAGCTTTAACATGTTTGATAAATAAAAGCTAAAGTGACATCATGGAGCCTTAGTTTTTATCTTGTGTATGTTTTATTTCCAACAGCACATACGCATTACAGTTTATGTCATAAGGAGGAGGTGCGCACTAAAAAACAATTTATAAGGCTTGAGATTTTAAAGTAAAGTAAAGCCAAATGGTGGCACAACTTTCCTATGTGTAATAGTGTGTAAGTAACGGCTAACTTCCCTCTTACTTAAGGAGCTTACACATTCTGGCGCCTCTGCTCGAATCAGCTTTGAGCCTTTTCCTTCCTTGTTTGGATCAGTGCATGTCGTGAGGTGTAGCGGTTCTGTTGGCACCCCCTTCACAATGCAGTCTCACAGTTATTCTCGCTCTGTTAGCGTTGACAATAATGTTGTAGTCGCTGTCATTCAAACAACACGAGTTTGCATTCAACTGTATAAGTGGAAAACCTCTCTGTAGAGAAGTGTCCAGAGTGATGTCAAAGTCTATTTTTAGTAGCTGCAGAGTGTGCTATTGCAGGTGCATTGTTGTCATATCTACTTATTGAATCAGGACATACAGTATTTAGCATATTGATCCATATTGATATTTTTTCTTCTTCCTCAGACCTCAAGAAACATGTCGCCGACTCCATCTTGTGAGGTGAGCACAATGCTGGATTCTGTGCTTTTTATTTGGATTCATGTGTTTCTTTGTTGAGAAAAGGTCTTTGTTCTTAGGGCTCTTACGACAGACGGGAGCGCATCTTGTTGCGGTCCACGAGTCAGGGCTCCATCGGCTCTCCAGTCTATAACAGACACAACTACATCCCCACTCTGTCGCGGTCCCCACAGCACTTCCATCGGCCCGGTGAGTCCCACGCCAACACAGAAGGTCAGAATAACTCTGATTACACACTAAATATTACTGGTTCTGGTGAAGGTGACACTGGTTTGTGTAAGATACATCAGTCCATGAAACCATTGTGGTCACAGGGATAGAAGTGTGACTGATGTTTGCCTGCTGTCTTGGCCTGATATTTACTTACATGTCATGTTTCTGAATGTCAACAATGTCAACATTTAAAAAGGGATGGAGAAATTCCCAAACATAATTTCTGGGCCAGAGGAGCCCAAAAATCTCTTGTCGGGCCAAAATCTATATGTATCAAAGCTAGTGTTTTGTAGATGAAAGTTTGTTTGCATAGATATTTATAATGATTAAATCAACTTCATGTCTAATATTATTAATCATATTGAGACTCCCCTGACTACATTTATTAGAATATCTATTTTTGATGAAACGTTGAACCCCTGCAGACCCCTGTTGTGGGCTAAATTAGACAGTCTCGCGAGCCAAATTTGTTCCAGGCAGCGCTGGACTTGTTTAGTAGTGTCATTTATCTGGGTTGTGCTAGAAGTTCCTCCAATAAGAAAAGAAAAAACAACATACATTTGATGGTCGAACAATATTGTAACATGGGAAAAGGTAAAAAACAAGATGATTTTACATCATATGTGTCCTTCAATTTAAATCTGTGGAAAACTCCAGGCAAAGAAATGTCAATCTTCAAAAGCAGGTGTTTGACCCATGGATCTATTATATTAACCCTACACCAGATGTCATTTTGTTTACTTAATATTATGAAGTAATAATAACTAAACATTTCAAGGTTCAAGGCAGTGACTGAAATGTTTTTGTATTCAAGGTAATAATTCATGACAAATGAAATAGACATACACAATACATACAGTAGATTCAGGAGTTTGAAAGTGATTAAAAGTGACTAAAAGTAGGTTTCACTTTGGACATTCACCTCAAAGCTCCCATTGACAAGTTAATCTCTCTCTGTCTCGCTGCAAGGAGCTTAGCCAAATTGACTTTTAGGTTTTTATCAGTGGAGGATTTCTTTCTTAACTCATTATAAAACTTGAAAGTCAAGTTTTGCACAACCCCCACGGAGACACTGCAAAAAAGGATTATCATCGAGGTACATGTTTGGAATTTAAACAAATGCTTCACCTTGATTATAAACTTTCTGTTGCATCTTTAGATCAACATTTTCAGACAGAAAAGTGAACAAGAGAAGCCACCCTCACTCTTCTTTACAAGTTTGATAAAGATGACAGATGAAGACAATATTTAAATTTTACTATCTATTGGGACAAACTTATTCATCAAACAAAAATATATCTACCCCAGCTTTAATTTGTAATCAAGTTTGGAAGTGTAAATACCATTGTAAAGTCCTCTAGGGCGATACAAAAACCAATTGAATTGAATTGAATGAACTAGTTCCTTCTTTGCAGTGTCGTTGTTTCACTGAGCACACTTTACATTTACAAATTCTTCTGTTTTATAATTTGCTTTGATGTTCCTGTACCCCTCACCCCTCACCCCTCCCTCCACACTCCTCACCCGTCGCTCCTCACCCCTCTGTCCTGCCCTGCTGTTGCCCCGCCCCGCCCCGCTGTTGCTGTTGCTGTTGCACTGTCCGGCCTCAGAGGCGCTGACAGGGATGCAGAAGCTGTGCTCGTCTCTCTGCAGTAACAGTGCGGCTGACTCCCGGCCCACTTCCCCTTTCAGACACCACTTCCTGCCCCATAGCACAGGTAAGGGCCCGGGCCACTGCTGTGTGCCGCCCCCTACTGGCCATCCTCGATCTCCATCCTCAGCCGTGTCGTGGGCAGAAATGAATGGACCAATCTATAAACCGAGCTTAGGCAAAGTTTGCGATACAGTTGCACGTTTGTTTGCACTCAATCACTCATTAGTGGTTGTGCGTCCCGTTAGCCATCTGTTGCCAAATAAACAGGTTTTCAATTTTAATGTTATAATGACATTCAGTCACTCTGTAGTTCAACTTTCTTCTTTTTTACTTATAAAAAAACTAAAGTTAGAGATTTTATTTCCTTTTATGTGATTGTGAGGCAAGGATACAACAGGAAAGAGAGGGAGAAAAAATACAATCATATACTGTACTTATTGAACTATATCTTTTGACAAACTATGAAATCCTTAAATTCAACAATTAATTATCTGAATATTCTGTTATTTAATTGATTCGTTGTTTGGATGGTATGGTGAATATAGATATTGTTACCATTTGAATGAATAAGGCAGGAACATTTTCATAGACGAACAATATCTTTTGTTATCAATAATAGCACATTTACATTTAATTCTGTGATTATAGCTCTGTCTATATGAAAATTCTCCACAGCATGTTTAGTCTGTGTATGGTTAGACAACTGTTATTCAATTGCTAAAGTTAAATAAGTAAAGATTATTTCTGATTGAATCCTGTGACAGCCGTCTAACAGACACACATGTGCTGTTTTTCCATTGGTCCATTCATATTCTGTCAAAGATCACAAACATCCACCGCCCTATTATCTCATCCCCATCGCCTTTCCTCAGGCCACCCCGCCTCACATTTTATCAAATGAACTCTACAGTAAACACCACGACCTCAGAACCGCCACAGAAGTTTGTTTTGCATGAATCCGAGAAACCGTTTTAATCCAAATCCACAGCACAAATGTGCCGCTGCTGAAATGCTGGAGTCGGATGAGTTGTTTGGCGGCGGTTTCTTTCCAGACTCTTGTGTGAATGAGATTTGAAGTGCAGCAGTTTTGAGTTTGCTGTGGCATGAAAACAGCCATAAATATTTAAAGAGTGACCTGCTATTGAACTGAGACGATAATATGGAAGTGCACTATGTAATAAATCATAAGCACTGGCAGAGGTGGAAATTCACTACTTTTTGTGTGGTTAAAAATAAGTCCATTAGAATGATTTAGATTTGAGTGTTATTGATACAATTTGGAGAAGAGAGCACAATGGTTGACTCTGAAAGGGTTGTTGTGTGTTGTGTTTGAAAAAATTGGGAAATTGTTCTAACGAGTCCTAAATTTAAGATGCAAGGGTCCGATGGATTTCTGAAGCAGGAGTAAAAAGTAGGAGTATAGTATTATAAAGGCTATAAGTTCAGGATATATGGATTCAATGGATATATGGATATATGGATTCAAGTCGACCTGTATTTTTCTTTTTTTTTGTTATGGCCATTTCCAAACAATCAGTTTTCACCTCTTTTTATGAAAATATGAAAACTGTTGTCTGCTTTTTTCCACCTCTGTCCTATAAGCTCTCTTTTTGTATGAGCTCACTTACCAAGTCAATGCAATCTTCTCATTTGTCAGAGAGGATTCCATCATCGAAAAAGTTTCAACGGTCATATGGACAATCAATGTAAATTTAAATCAAGATTTTTCACCTCCATTGTATCCAAGGAGGTGAAACATTAACAGCAGATGAGGAAATCAAACAATTGTAGCATAAATAGATACAATAATAAAAGTAGGAGTCAATGTCCATAATGTCCATAAAATGTTCATAAATGACTCGGCTCACCCTCTAACCTCCTCAACCCTTCTGCATCAGCGAAAAAGAGCAGGAGCTGTAATAATCCTTAAAGTCTGGACTTTTTCCCAGTGACTATTATCTGTGATGAACTACAGGGAAAATGCCTGTATAGTTTTTATTTTTCTTGCTGATGCAGGAGGGCTAGGGATAGTGATGATTTGGCATTTATGAACATAGGTCATCCGCTACCCTATGGACCAATGGCTCTTGTGTTAAATTCTCAATCTGTTATTCCTCCTCCTGCTGTTGATGGAGTTAGGGTTAGTGATTTAGGGCAGGGCTTTTTACAAATAGATTGAGTTGTTCACATGACTTTGTTTGAAGCTTTTCCTGCCTGCTCTCTAACTGCTGCTATCATCACTAACTCCATTGCATACATGCCCAGCCTCATGTGAAGGGTCGGCACTAGATCATATACGGAATCGGGACGAAACCGGAAGTAACGATCATACTAGTTTTAGACTAATAAGTCCTTAAGTGGTGACTGGTTAAGTTTAGGCGTCTGATTAAGATGGTTAAGTTTAGGGTTAAGGCTGGGTTGGGGTTATTTTATGGGAATGGCTGGTTAAGTTTAGGCATGAATAGGTAGTTTGTTATTTTTACTTCCGCTTCCGTCCTGATTCCGTATATGATCTGGTGCTGACCCCATGTGAAGTGGTGCCTGTGTCCTGCTCTCCGCTGCCCCCTGGTGGCTCTATAACTGCCTGCTTATGTTGTTGTTCTGCTTCTTCTCACGGAGGCTCCACTGATCCGCCAAGTGGCCGCAGCTCTCCTCTTCCACTCAGGCCAGACAGCCGGCCGGGCACCCCGCCGCTGTCGCTGACCCCCAAACACTTTCACCTCCCAGGTATTTACTCCATGATCTGTTTGTGTTTGGAGTCCAGCCCTGTCGCCGCGCCGCTCGTCTGCTGCCGCTGAGAAGCTTCTATTACTTTACACCCTGGATACAACTCACAGATAAAAAACAATATACTGTATTTGTAGGATGTACTGCAAAACAATGGTAGAAAATAAGATAATTGATTTGGCCGGTTGTACAGAGAGTTATGATTATTGTGAGAAAATACACAACAAATATTCTCAATTATTTACCAAAACATTTTGAACAGTCTTGAATTTCCTTTGTCTTACTTTCCTCTTCCAGGCGCATGAAGGAGGTATAGATATGTGGATTTTTTATTCATTTATTTTTACATTTTTTATTCATTTCAAACCCGTGTTCACACGTTTCACACACAAAAATACTGTACATAAACAATGTCATTGTCAGCTGTTTTTGTGTTGCACATTTACAACACCAGCTGCTCAAAGTGTTTCACAGGCACTAAAGAAAAAATATACACAAATACAATATAAAAGTTATTCTCAAGTGAGAACAATAGATGGAATGGAAAATGTTTTATTTTGTGCTTCTAAAATGATCACTAATTTTTAGTTTGTATGAATATATTGTAATGTAAATAATCACAATTATTGATTTTTGTAAAATGTGGTTTAAATACAGTCAAATAAACGTCATGGCTTTTATTGTATTTTTACCATAACCATTTTAAAGGCTTTAGAGGGCGGCACGGTGGCTGAGTGGATAGCACTCTCGCCTCTCAGCAAGAAGGTCCTGGGTTCGAATCCCGGCCAGACCAGGGCCTTTCTGAGTGGAGTTTGCATGTTCTCCCCGTGTCTGCGTAGGTTTCCTCCGGGTACTCCGGTTTCCCCTACCACTAAAAAACATGCACAATAGGTCTGGCATGCGCCTCCTGTACTGGCGACCCCGCTCCCCTCTCTGTGTGGAGTGAGAGACAAATGCCCAAAAATAATAACAATTGTAAACCGCTTTGTGACTCTGGTCTGTGAAAGGCGGTATATAAATAAAGATTACTTACTTACTTACTTACTTACTTAGAAGAATGAATGCAAAGATATAAAAATAATTTACAAATATTTACAAGTACATATGAACTTGTTTTGCCTTGTCTGTTTTGTGTTGTGTTGTTATAAAAAAGATAAGCTATGAAGAAACATCACAGCCAACATTCCAAACAGTGAATTTCATTTACTGTACATTCAGTCAGGATTTAAGTAATTCAAATATTTCTGCGGCACTGTCTGCATCCAGTCCTTTTTCATCATTTATATAATCAATATACATGTTTCCACCAAAACTGACACATGAGTGACTTTTAGGGTCACACCAGAGTAGCCCATAGTCTGTGTCTGTTATGAATGAATATTTTTCTACTATTATCCACTAAACATGTGAAATTTGGTTTTCAGATCAAGGAAGCAACATCTACAGAAAACCCCCAATCTATAAACAACACGGTATGGCTTTGTCCTTCTATTGTTTTTGTTATAATCATGTTTTAACTTTGTATTCAATGGGAGTTTGTGTGTCCATCTCTGTCCAATGCCAACGGTACGTTTGAAGTCTGTCTCCGATCCTCTTCTGTCGCATGGTCATTATTATCAGCAACATTCACAAAGGAGCAAACTAAACATATCGTATCAAGACTCACAAATATAGACTTTTTCAGGGTGAATTTTTACTTGATAAGATGATGGCCCTTTTCAAATCCTGGTCTAGTCCTGGTCTAGTCTCATTCCAGTCCTGGTCTAGTACTGGTGCAGTAGGTCTAGTTCCATTCTAGCTCCATTCTACGCCCATTATAGTCCTGGTCTGGTGTAGCACAGGTATTTCAAGGAAATTATTGGAATCTATTTTGACACTATTCATATATGCAAGACTAAATCAGGTCAAAACCAGTTCCCAATCAACCTTTGTAGAAGGAAATGTATTTGAAATAGCAACACTGTACAAAATAAAAAAATCATGATAAATAGACACACATCTGAAAGACTAAAAGTAGAAGCAGGAAGGTTGAGGTGCGAGGATCTGAGACTGTACACAGGTTCATAAATGCACAGTCTCAGATCACAAGTGAATCAAAAATATATGTGCCAGATTGTGGAAGGCTTTGTAAAAGAGGCGTCATGTGAGATCCTTTTGTGATTCGGGACTGGACTAAAGGGCTAAAAACATACACAAAACTGGACAAAAGCGTACCCGTCTGAACTTAATATACAGTGACATCTCAGAGCACTCAAAGCGATCATTAGACCATTTCAAACAGAACTTACTTATGAGAAACCGTAGCACTGCTCCAAGTCATATTGTTGTCCAATAACCAATGCTTTCTACCGCACATTTAAAGATGGAAAATATGACTTTGTTTGCCTCCCAAATGATATTCTATAGCTATACATTTTAACACACATTTCTGCACCCCTGAGTGTGGCTGAGTGTGGGAAAAGCATAATCTTCCTTACATAAGACGTCGGTGAGTCACAGAGGAGGAAAATCCCCAAATCCGCATTGACGCTGATCCTCTGCACTTCACTAAAAAAAAGAAATATTACTTTAGAAAAAAAAGCATTTGCCAAGACGTTTTGTATCATTGGGATAATATCTTATTTAAGGACATGCAGAGCTATTCATGACTTTACATTAACAGAGATTTGGACTGTTTTATAGTGATCATTGTGCAACAAAATCATGTTTTTACCTGATTTCCTAAATACTAAAGCTGGTGGTAGACAACAAAGCCTGGGATTGTAGCTCTGATGTTATCCACAATGGGGACATTAAGATTTATATGGATATATGGATTTTACAGTATATGGAAATAGAAAGACACATTTAATGCCACGTTGTAGAATATTATTGCAAAAATAACAATATTTAGGACTCATGGTTCTAATTTTCAATATAATTAAAACATTTTTAAAAACAGCCACATGTGGTCTGTAGTTTAGGGTTCAAACAAATCTGGTTCATATGAGCAAAAATGCTTCAAAGATCAGTTTCAAAGGAAAACTGGCATAAGGAGACTTATGATTTTACATCCACTAATTAAGCATTTTTCCTCAAATGAATCAGAATTAGTCCAGTTAAAGTAACCACGGAATCAAGTTTGACATACTCTATCGTCTATCATAAGTGTCTATCGCTCTTGACGTGGGCGAGTTTTTCAAATATATTTGCTTTTACATCTTAAGTTCTATTTATCCCTATTTCAAGTGTCTGATTATGGACTTCTTTGAACTTCTTGATGTGTGATGTCTTTTTTGAGCACACCTGAGTAGCCTTTTTTCGCTTGTCCAATGCCCGCCCACCTCTGATTGAAGCACAGCCCATGTCAGCTCAGTTGCCAGTGATACCGACCTGTAGTTACTGCCGCCTTTAGCTCGCCAAAGCAAGTCAGCGGACGACATCATCCGCTGTGCCACGTTCCCCGCGGCGCACGCCCCCTCCCCGGAACACAGCGAGGCCGAGATCAGGCCCTGCTCCCTGGCTGCTTTAGGTACAGACTGCACTGTGCCTGCTCTGCTCTCCCAAACACTAATAACTTACTTTTACTTTGGCCTCTTTTCGTTTCCGTTTGCTCCAAAGCTGCTTACTGCACGTCGCTGCTGCTTGCTCTGGATTTCAACTTACAGCTTTTATTCATGGGTTTTCAGCTTTTGAGTCTATTTTTTTGTTTTCAAATATGTACACTTGTGGGGAAGACTGCTAGACTATAATAGTTTGTAACAGAAAGCTTCCATAGGTAACATTTTGTGATTCAGACCACATCATATGTTGTTTTCATATGTAATCTTACCTTATTCACTTTTCTGTCTGAGAAAAACGGATCTGAACATATCACAGTCGCCAAAAATATAGGCAAGTGAAACGAAACTGTTTATAGAGCGGGGCTCCATTGGTTGATTTAAAGAAGGAAGTAATCTTTATTTATATAGCGCCTTTAAGTCACAAAGCGCTTTACAATTGTTTTGGGCATTTGTCCCTCACTCCACACAGAGATGGGAGCGAGGTCGTCAGTGCAGGAGGCGCATGAAGAAGGTTTTGTGGTTCCGTACCCCAGATTTAGGGAAAAAAATTCTATCCTCCCTGAAACCTATGAATACATGTACACAAAACAATGAAAAAAGTTCAAGAGTGTGAAGAGTGCAAGATGAAGGATTGTTTTAGTACTATTATTATTAATATTATTAGTATTATATGTGTACATGTAATATTTTATACACAGAGTGGGGGTAAGAAGCTGTCAAGTATAAAGCTTGTCGCACTTGAAAATGTTTTTTCTCCTTTTGAAGCTGCTACCAATGCTTTGCAACTACGGTTTATTTTTCTTTTAGCAGCTTTTGCGATTCTGCCTTGGTTCAATACAGTATTAATTTATCATTCATATTTTATCTTTCATTTGCTATTGCTCAATACCAAGTGTTGAATGCCACAAATGACAAGGACAGAGATAACTGAGACTGACTTCAAACCATGTCTGTTTGTCTCACATTCTGTCATCCAAATTTACCTTAATTACTGTCTGTCTGTCTAGTCAACTCTGTCTTACATTTGTGTGTCCTCTCGCACATGATTTGACCATTTACTGTTTACGTCATTGCACCACAGTGAAAGTAACCTACTGTTTTATCATCAGGGGTATGTCATGTAAGTGTGGCCTCCTATGTGCTGCAAGTTTGAGTGGTTCCATTTCTCATTTCTCTAGGTCCAGAAGGCAGGAGGAGATCCAGAGAGGAAGACGAGGAAGAGGCCTTGAAAAGAAAACAACTTCAAGAAGAGCATCTAAATAAGGTCGGTCTTTCTAACCGCTAATGCAAATACAGTCTGTTGAAAATAAATTGATGATTGTGACTCTCTTATCTGGGGATCTGCTAGTTCTGAAATCGTCACATTGTGTTTCAATCTGGAAAGACTCAAAACATCTATTCGATTTTTGTTTATTGAGTAACATTTGCAAGAGGTAAAATGCTTGCTGCTGGTTGATTGCCACGGACTGACATGTAGAAATGAAAATAGGTGCAGTGCTTTAGTAGATATTCAAACATGTGTAATTTGATGCGAATTTATGCCTACAATATAATTTTGCTCTGGTAAGGATGTTGATCTCAAGCCTGCTTTTGGGTCCCAACCGCAATAGTTTGGTAACTACATAGTAAAAGGATATATTCATGAATGTCGGTATATAGCATTTGTTTTTCCCAATTAATTTTAAAATATAAGGGCATACTTTCATTTGTACCCTTATATTTATTTAGGGCATAGTACATTGAGGTTCCATTTTAATAGCTCATTTAAATACAAAGTAGAAGTATATTTGAATCCTGGCTATATGATAGTTGTAAGGGTGACAATCTATCTTTCTTCAAAAGCAAAACTGTAGCTGGAGATTTGAAGCCTGACAGAATGCAATGCAGGCGCAAGATCTAAAAATGATTGTTCCGTGACCTCAGATCCAGTCGGGTTTGGGGAAGCTGATCTTGAAGGAGGAGAAGGAGAAAGAGCAGATCCGAGTGCGGAGTCAGTCGGCTCAGCGCTGTGACGCAGGTAAAGACCCTGCACTCTCACTTCAGAACAGTTACAGGACGTTCCGAGGCACTTCCTAAAGCTTTATACAAACTAAGTGTGTATGTTGTTTTGCAGAGCCTACATCTCCAACAAAAACAAACTCACTGCCTGGATATGGAAGAAACGGCTTGCATCGGGTAGAGCATTTTACAGATCGGGTTTGAGTGTTTTGGAATTTAGGATTTTCCAATATGGTGTAAAACATTAACAATCCCAAAACATGTGAGCTAGTAAAGCCGGCAGTAGCAGCTCTTTATTTCAGCCTTATTTCAATGTTATAGTGCAAACAAAATTAACTTTTATCACTGTAAATAGTATGTAGTGAAACATTTTTAGACGTGGGTATTTCTCGTTCCTAATTTGAATTAAATATAATTTGCAAGTACATTGACAAGTACAGTACATTGGGGGATAAGTTAAAAAAAAAAAAAAACATCAGACTAATGAATTAATTCTGTACTAATTCCTCAACAAAACATGTGTGATACGTTTTTTTGAGTTGTCTAAAATAGCTCTGCCGTCGAGGGACTAACACTGGTGCTGTTTCTGTTTTTGTGTTCAGCCGCAGTCGACAGATTTCACTCAGTACAACAGCTACAGCGACATGTGTGGAGGAGGCCGAGGTGAGGAAACACACAGCTCACTACAGCTGTCTTATCTCAGGAATGAAAATAAAATATGCATTTTTGGGTGGCCTGTCACAACAACACATTGTGATGGACAATATGAATGAATGCTGTTTTTGTTCCTATAATGGATTTAGAAAGGTCACATTTAGAAAGGATCATTGTTTTTGAATTGAATTGAAAACCACACATTTATATACTGTGTAAAAGGTCATATGGACAGGTTATTGTTATTATTATATGTTTATTTGATAGGGACAGAACAAAAAGCATTGTTACAGGTAACCGATGCCATGTTCTTAGGCCGTATCGCTAACAGATGATTTGCAGACCTGGTCCCTTTTAACTACTGTATATACACTTCTGGTTTCTACCATTGGAATTGATGAGTAGGTCAGATTTTTGTGCATGAAATGCTAGCAACACAAGGAAAAAAGTTCTTTGATTATTTGTTAAAACCACAAACTAAACTAAATTGTCCAAATGGAAGGACACTATACACACAACTTCTGAAATGTACCTAAATCTTCAATGCAAGTGATTTTATGTCTAGACGTCAATTTGTGGCACTATTATCAAGATATTGCAATACTACTAATCGCAATTAGATCATACTATCATTAAGTACTGCAACGTTTTTGTGGTGGATTTTACGGCCAAATCATTAACTGTGCATCTCATTCTTTGTCCTATTGTGCCATATTGTCCTGCAGAGTTTCAGGTATGTGTCTGCTCCACATGGCATGGCCCTCCATAGACCTACACCATAGATTCTATCATAGACCTACACCATAGACTAAGCTCTACGAACACGAGTATGAAAGTAAACTCCTCTTACTCCTTAGCAGTTTTGGGATTAAGACCCTGTGGTTCACCGCTCTACATGATCCTGGTCCTCTGTAGTTTTATATTATCTTTGTAAATCCAGATATGCCTCACAACAACAGAGCATTCAGGTGCCTTCTGGCCGTGAATTCAGGTTAAACTTTCAGGTGGGAACAGACAAGCACCGCTCCTGAATGATTGATTGGTTGCTGGGACGTTGCTACCCACAAAAAGGGTTCCAGATAGCCACATGGAGCCTATTTGAGCTCTAATCAGCTTCATCCACAATAAGGCAAACACTATGGTTGACGTCAGCACTTGTCCACTCCTTCCATGGACAGAATTTGCCTTCACCATATATGAATGACACTATAGTCTATATTTCCACCACAGACCTACTGACATCCGTTTGGTTTGCTGGCTGCTTGCTTCCAAAGACACCATGTCCTGACTGCTCTTCGCCCACTCCTGCCTCTCGCTTGCATCACTGTTGGACTTGTGTCAGCGCCAGAGTGCAGTGTTTTTAATGCTCTCCATACAAACACGTTCAAAGAAACTACTGTTCCAATGTTTTATTCCAATGGACAAATGCACAAATAAAGTACACTGCAAAAAACTATAAAACATGATGTAATAAATGCTTGAATCCAATGGTTTTATCTTAATTTTAGTACATTGTGACTGTCTTAAAACTAGATTCGCCAATGGGACAAGCAATCTAGTCTTATTTCAAGAACTGTGAGGCATTTCTTGTATCTTTTTAAGACAAGATCATTTTTGTTTGTCGCATTAGATATCTTGTTTTAATGTTAATGTTCTTAAATTAATATATTTGAACAAATGTAAGCAATTTGTAACTTATTTTGTATCAGTTTTTGCAGTGTTTTCCTCTTATATTTTTTTAGAGATTGCTACCAATTTTAATGAAAGTCAGTAGGGCCAAAACCGCTGCTTATAGGTCCCGGTATCCTACAGTAGGTGATTACGGTACAGGGATACAGGGATATTATAGTTTTCCCAATTCTTACATTTATGTAATAATCATCTGGTCTATAGTAGTATTCAAAATAATGAACTAATTTAGAAATAGCATCCACCAAACTCACATGAAGTCACTAACTCAGAATAGAACAATGAGTAATTGACTTTTTGTTTGGGAGACATTAAAGCATTGGCATAAGGCTGGTCCACTGCTCACGTCTTGTTGTGTTGTGTTTATTTAGCTTTATCAACATGTATCATAGAATCCAAGAAAATCATTATGTTTTCCATTTCTTTCTTTTGGAATAGTGGCTCTAGTGCATGTCAGCTCCATCCGTGTGTGTGAGTGTTGCCCTGGTCCCGCTGCCCCTTCTGTTACATCTGTGTGTGTTTTATCCTTTAGCACATTAAGGACGGCCGCGCTGCTCTCAGGATGGACAGGGGAGTATCAATGCCTAATATGTTGGAGCCAAAAGCAAGTATATTTTTCTGTTATCGAGGAAACTTGTAAATAGGTGGAGCATTGATGCACACTTTATATGAATTGACATACAAATCATATTTACTATTTTGAAACAATACAGCACTGTGAAAAAGACTAGTTTAAAATGGACATATCGTGTTTTCAAATAATTGATTTTTACATCTAAATCATTAATTTGTGGCCTATATAAAGCGTAACTGCAATGCCTGGGTCTGAGTCTCATTATTTGTAGCTCCACGGGCCTTTCTTCTACACCTGTTCTGAGGTGCGTCTGAGAGCAACCTGTTTTGGTGCTGTCTCTTTAAATGCAAATGAGGCGCTTTTGACCACGCCCCCATCCAGGTGACAGAGGTTCAACTCCACCCCGAGCGGCCATTTTCGTAGTTTCTAAGCACAGATACAATTATCTCATAGAAACTTCTCATTACATCGCAAACATGAAGCAGGCCTTCCTCATTGACTGAAATCAAATGTTAAGTTTCATTCTTAGTCCAGTCTTATTATCGACTCTTCTCTTTTTAGCTTTGGGATCCATGCGCACAGTCTATGATGCTCACACGCCGGTTTGTTTACAACAGCGGCCGCCTGGCACGGGCCTATGTCATATCGCAGGATATGACACACTACGTTGACAGAAATGTTTATTGAATTGAATATTACTTATGCACAATTTTACAGCATTTAAAAACGTTAAGAACGTTTTTCCTTCTACAGAAGGAAAGAGACGCATGCACCTCCGGAGCCGCAGGTTGCCGACTCCTAGTTTATACAGTATGTGGAAGCAAATACTGTAGAGGATCAGGATATGTGCAGTTTCAACAATAAAATAAAATGCAATAGTCTACATTACAACAGGGTAATAAACATGTCTCAGAGTGAGGGAGGTGGACACAGACAATACTATTGTTTGTTACAGGGATGAGAATTGGTCAAAAAAGACTGAAATGCATATTGTCAGCCATTTGCTGGCTCTAAATCTGTTTAATTTGTTCACAACATATTACTTTTGGGCTCAAACATGAACTTTTAATGCAATGGAAAATGTAGGTATCAGAGCTTTATTTAGGGCTTTTAATCGCGCTTCGAGAGGAGAGGGGAGACGCGGACTGTTTCCTGCAGCAGTGTATTTATTGGGTGCACAGAGAACTCAAAGACACGCATGGTCCTGTGCGTGTTTATAGGGGTTGGGTACATGGCCACGTTGAGGCTGCGCGCTCAGCCACAACACGGTGGAGCGGCTGCGAGCGGCTGGACGCTCACAGCCTCTCGCAGCCGCTGGACGCGGAAGCTGCTCATTACAAAGCGGCCGCAGATGCTTCGGAACACTGCGGCCGCTGAGGTGGCGGAATCCCGTTCCGAGTACATACAGCAGGTGCCCCCCGGATACGCGCGCCCCGCTCCAACAATTCTCAACGGATTTACACTTCTCATAAACATGTGTTTTGTATGAGGCAGACAGACCGGCCCAAATATGGGCTTCGAATTTGTAGTCCAAGCTCAAGGATGCCAGCGCACAGGGCTGGACTGGCCATCGGGCGTACCGGGCAATGCCCAACAAATTCGAAGTAATGCACAGTAGAGGGCTGGGCCGAAGTGTTTTGTTAGGCGCCCATGCCCTTATATAGCAGTCTCGCTGCAAATACTGTGACGTAATAATTCTAAACACGTAATAGAGAATGGCAAAATCAGAACGGGTTGAAATATCTTACCTAAACAGAATATGAAGTGTTCTCTGTAACGCATGAAAAGACTGATTTCAACTTTTTTGCACTTCTAGAGGCTCCAACTACACAACATAAGGCATTTAAGGCACAAAAAGTGGATTTTTCATGATATGTCCCCTTTAAGATTGGCCTAAAGCAGGGTAAATTTAACTGCTCAATGGTAATGGTTGATAGTATTGATCGTACATTTACTGAAATTGTGCCTTGTTCACAATAATCCCATGATTCAATTATGAAATTATAAAATGGCCATACATTTTTTTCCGCTTCATCCGTTGCTGGGTCACGGGGGCTTCAGTCTAAGCAGAGACGCCCAGACTTCCCTATCCTCATCTGGGGGAAGCCTGCAGTGTTCCCCGGCCAGCTGAGAGACACAGTCCCTCCGATGTGTCCTGGGTCTTCCCCGGGGTCTCCATCCGAATGCAATTGGTCCTCAATAATTTTGAGGGTTTTTTGACACTTTTTCTTTATTGGATTAAAGTACTTTCTACATTTATCAAGATCATTTAAGTCTATTGCTTTGGCTTCCGCTAAACTGAAATAAGCCCCAACAAGCTGTGTTCCCCTTCTTTCATCAGACTGTGATGATTTTCCCCACACAATGGAATATACAGCGCTTCAAAAGTTTCACTCTTTCTTCGTAAAAAAAAACCCATGACTGCACACATGTGTTGAAGTCTGTCAATAGATCAGTTAACAATTAATTGATTGCTAAAATAGCTGTCAATTATTGAAAACTGGAAATATAATACTGAAAATTAATGGCCGCATTTATTTGTGATCGAAAAATTGCCCTTGTTGCTCTAGTAGTCTTTGCACAGTTCTGTTTTGTGATCATTTCTGAGATTCAATAAGGGTTTTTCGCTTCACTACATCATCATTTTTTCCAGCACAGAAAATGAACATAGCCAGATTAGTATTTTTGCTTGAGTAGAAGTTTGTGAGGAGTATAATTTGTATATTACTTTCATATAGGTCCAATAGCAAAAACTAACACATACTTGCCTACACTAAAATAAAAGTCTTAAAGTCACAGTCAATGTCATAGTGGCCCTTGACATTTCCCTAGTATTAATGGTGTTGTTAATTCCTTTAAAACCTGATGTATCTTTTGTTATTGCGATAACTGCTAAAGCACTAATACCATGAAATGCAAATCTACTTGAGTATTGTTACTTTGAATTACCAGTAGGTCTCTTGCGCGTATGGACTTCTTCCTCTCTTGGCTCACTTTCTCAGCTGTATCTGGATTTCCAGGACAGTCATTCCCTTGTGTGTGTTCAGCTGACCCACTTAATGTTTCTGTTTATAGCCTGAATCTAAAAATACAAAGTGTTGCATAATTGTTTTCCTTGTTTTCTCTTGTTACCCAAATCAACTGCACGTTTTACACTTAATTTAGTATTAACCTGCATTTTCCCAATTATCCAAAAACCTTGCCTCTTGTGCCAGACCTGTTCCTCTGCACACTTGAACACATGTCTTTAAAAAACTGTTGAAATATTGTTTGTAGATAGAGGTTTGAACGTGTTTCTTATACTGGTGTGTCTTTCTGAAGGCGTACCCATATGAGATGTTGATAATAACCAGTAGAGGGAGAGCCAAACTGCCTCGGGACGTGGACAGGACCAGACTAGAGGTACAATGTTTATCTATCATTTTTGTTTATCATCTCATCTTAGAATTTCTCTGAAGTATATGGGAAAATGACATACTGTTGTTTAAAGGAGCCCTTGGTTGCTACGTGCTTGTTTCATTGGAGATGTTATTGCAATTATACTGAACAAACAAACGGGACTAGTGTGACAGAGTTCACCTCCTCATGGATACGACCAATCACTGACTCATTTATCGCCATTCTCCGAAATAATCATTATATTCATACAATCAAGAGGATACTAGTGTGAAAATGTGAAAGTTTTGAGCGTTTAACTACAATATGGTACAATATTGTTTCCTTATGAAAAACATGCCTGGAGTTGTTAACTAATAACTAATATTGGGAACAAACACGTCCCCCTCTAAGCGCTCCTATCTCTAAGTGTGTTTTTGCTACCATTAATTATCAAAAGAAAAAGAAAAACAGTATATCTTCCAAAGTGGTTTTGCCAATTTCTCCGGTGAAATCATGTTTTTTGCAAGAGCGTGGGGTTAATATATGCTCCACCCATTTTAAATACATAAATAAATTCACCATCTTCCCCTGGTGGTAGAAATGTTGAATTGCATACTGAGATCATTTTCTATATCCTTAATGCGTGTCTTGCCATATATGTTGCATGGTTAGAGATGTATTACTACTTATGTCTCATTTAAAAAACAAATTAGTCTCATGTTTTATGGGGACAAAACGAATGCATAATAATTGTTCTTTAACAACATAAATAAGTTAGTTAACAGAAAACATGAAACAGACTGCTGTAAAAAGTATATTTTTGTATATTGTGTAAATGTTTACATGTGTGATCCTCCACCTGAAGAGTATCATGTTTCTTGATGATCATCCAAAAATCACATCTTTGAAAATGACAACACATTTCTGAGGCCATATATTCACGAAGTCGTCCCTAAAGTTAAAAATAAGGTGTAATTTTTTAGACTATTCAACCACAACATTTCTAATAATAAAAAATATATGAAAACAATTGTACATGCCAACAATAATTCTACTTACAGGTGCACAGAATGTAAAATAACTTTATGAATGTTACCAAAGCAGAGGTTTGCTTGCCACACTTGCATCAGCCATATCCAGTGCTTGTTATGTCCCATTTTGTGGCTTCGATGCTAACCACAAATACCCCTCCCTTCCCCTCTTTTGTTTCCCTTTGCTTCCGTTTCTCTAGCGCCACCTAGCTCCCGAAACTTTCTTTGACATCTTCGGTATGCAGATCCAAGAGTTTGACAGGCTTCCACTGTGGAAACGCAACGACATGAAAAAGAAGGCCAAGCTCTTCTAGCATGACTGTACATTCATCCGGATAGCACACAACAACTGTAAAAAATTCGAAAAACAAAAAAACAATGAAAACAACGAAAATCAGACAAAAAAACTAGGTGTTATAGAATTTTGGGTTGATTTTTTTGTTTTGTTTTTTTACTATGTTTTCTCTGGACACTTTTGAGGAAGCCGTCACACCTGTTCTCTCCTGATTCTTCCCAAGACTTTTGAACATTTACCGAACTGCCCGAGAATCTTCTTGCACATAAAATGGGACTTTTCTCTTCCAAAAATGACAAAGAATGAATGATACTATTATGATTTGCTTGATTTACTTTGCTCTGAGTGCTCATATTCTGTCCATATACACTGCCTGTTTGTTCTATCATATGTTGCTCCTGTGGAACTTTGTAATTAGGAAAAAAATTACTCATGCCGCCATTTTGAAAAGTCCATGCTTGTACAGCCTGAACATACGTCCGCTTTCCCTCTGTTTTGGCTTGAGCTGAAATTGTTCTTTTTTTTGTTTTTGTCAAATGTTTGCAAGAATCGGCTCAGTGAGTCTTTGGAAAACAACAGAATTCTCCTGCTTTCTCCTCCCAACCTCTTCCTCTTTTCCCTTTCAAAATAAACGTCTCAGGCTCCCCATTTAATAAACACAGCCAGACACTCTCCCTTTACATGTATCAGATATTTGACCATCGGCTAAGTGGAATAAATCAATTGTATTTAAAAAGTTTTATAATGGAAAAGACCACACTGCCATTTGTTGTATTGAATTTGAAGCAAAATAAAGCTTTAAACCACCATGAACAACACAATCCTCTGCTGAACCAAACCTCTCCTCGGCTCTGTTTCCTTCTTCCTGTTGATGTTTTACAGTATTTTTTAGTATCTGATGCTGTACTTGAGTTCACAGATGTCATTTGAGGTAAGGCTTTGAAATGAGCTGGATATGAACCAGAGAGTATCGACCTGCCGAACAAACAAAGATGTCCAATGTTTAATTCAAGCCAGGGTACCTCACTTGTTTTTGTTTTGTTGCAAATGATACACGTTGTTTGTCCAATAGAAAGGGTGTTCTAAAAGTAAAATGTTGTGATCAAATCAGACCACAACATGCTGTTTGGATCTTATTTGAAACTTAATCTTTTGCGTGCTTGTAAGAAATCCATGTGAGTCACTATTTTACACTTTGGGCTGAGAGCTGATTGGCTGCATTTAAAATTGTGTTGGGAGAGAGAGACTTTTATTCATGTAAGCAGATGCTAGTCACTCCCTGCTTCCTGATTGGATAGAATAAAGTCAAAACCATCACAGGCAAGCTCTCTCGCCATTGGTCTTCTATACGCCAAAACGTATTGGTGATGGATATGCCGAGAGCTGGGACTTTTCGTGAAGTGGAACGAAATTTATTGGATAATTTAAACTTTTTTAACAAATTAAAAACTGAAAAGTGGGGTGTGCAATATTATTCGGCCCCCTTGCGCTAATACTTCAGGTCTGGACTTTGACTTGGCCATTCTAACACCTGGATACGTCTATTTGTGAACCATTCCATTGTAGATTTGGCTTTATGTTTTGGATCATTGTCCTGTTGGAAGATTAATCTCCGTCCCAGTCTCAGGTCTTTTGCAGACTCCAACAGGTTTTCTTCCAGAATGGTCCTGTATTTGGCTTCATCCATCTTCCCATCAATTTTAGCCATCTTCCCTGTCCCTGCTGAAGAAAAGCAGGCCCAAACCATGATGCTGCCACCACCATGTTTGACAGTGGGGATGGTGTGTTCAGGGTGATGAGCTGTGTTGCTTTTACGCCAAACATGTTGTTTTGCATTGTGGCCAAAAAGTTCAATTTTGGTTTCATCTGACCAGAGCACCTTCTTCCACATGTTTGGTGTGTCTCCCAGGTGGCTTGTAGCAAACTTTAAACGAGACTTTTTATGGATATCTTTGAGAAATGGCTTTCTTCTTGCCACTCTACCATAAAAGCCAGATTTGTGCAGTGCACGACTGATTGTTGTCCTATGGACAAACTCTCCCACCTCAGCTGTAGTTATCTGCAGTTCATCCAGAGTGATCATGGGCCTCTTGGCTGCATCTCTGATCAGTCTTCTCCTTGTTTGAGAGGAAAGTTTGGAGGGACGGCCGGGTCTTGGTAGATTTGCAGTGGTCTGATACTCCTTCCATTTCAATATAATTGCTTGCACAGTGCTCCTTGAGATGTTTAAAGCTTGGGAAATCTTTTTGTATCCAAATCCGGCTTTAAACTTCTCCACAACAGTATCTCGGACCTGCCTGGTGTGTTCCTTTGTCTTCATGGTTCTTTCTGCGCTTTAAACAGAACCCTGAGACTATCAAAGAGCAGGTGCATTTATACGGAGACTTGATTACACACAGGTACATTCTATTTATCATCATCAGTCATTTAGGACAACATTGGATCATTCAAAGATCCTCACTGAACTTCTGGAGTGAGTTTGCTGCACTGAAAGTAAAGGGGCCGAATAATATTGCACGCCCCACTTTTAAATTTTTTATTTGTTAAAAAAGTTTAAATTTTCCAATAAATTTCGTTCCACTTCACGATTGTGTCCCACTTGTTGTTGATTCATGACAAAATGTTTTAATTTTATATCTTTATGTTTGAACCCTGAAATGTGGCGAAATGTTGAAAGGTTCAAGGTGCCGAATACTTTCGTAAGGCACTGTATAATGATTTACAGTTAGTGACATCAACGTTAATAAGTTTTAACAAAGGGGTGCATAATTTTCTTCCAATAGGTTCATATATAAGTTCATGAGATCAAACTACTGGGAGTGGAAATTGATAGTAGACTGTTATGGTCCAAACACACGAGCACAGTAGCACAAAGAATGGGTCGGAGTCCGTTCATAGTTTAGGAGATGCTCATGACAGCAGATGTCATAAAAACACTTGTTCTTTCACAGTTGGATTATTGTTCAGAAATTTGGTCGAGTGCTGCATTATCAAATATTAGGCAGTTACAAATGGTTCAGAACAAGGCAGCTCGACTGGCTCTGCGGTGTAAGTACAGAACAAATGTAAAGTGGATGCATTCATGTTTGTCTTGGTTTATGGTGAAAGAGAGATTTGAGGCATCGTTACTCAATTTCACAAGATATATTATTGAGAACAAAACTCCAAATGTGGTTTATCAAGAGCTCTGTTTTAGTTCTGGTGAGCACAATTATGAAACCTGACACGCCACAGAAGGCAGATTCAAGTTACCCAAAGTAAAAACAAATTTTGTAAAAGCAACTGTAATGTACAGGTTAATGTTTGCCCGGAATCATCTCCCAAATGACATTATAATTAATGCAAACAGTAAATACCCATTTAAAATGTTTTTAAAAAGACATCTATTGACAAATTAGTATAAACATGTAATATTACAACTGTGCTGTAATCTCTCTAACTACCATTGACAACTGAAATTGGGGCTGGGTCTTGTGTGTGTGTGTGTGTGTGTGTGTGTGTGTGTGTGTGTGTGTGTGTGTGTGTGTGTGTGTGTGTGTGTGTGTGTGTGTGTGTGTGTGTGTGTGACCCTGTGTCATCTTTTGTATCATTTTTGTTTTTATTTTAGTATAATTATTGTCATGTATTTTTGTTAATGCACCTTGCCTGACTCCAGGAAGAATAGCTGTGTTGAACAGCTAATGGAGATCAAAATAAATACAAATACAAATAGGAAACAATAAAAAAAATCACAAAATAAGGATATTTATAATGTATTCACCAAGGTGGGTTGATGTAGATTTGGATAGTCTTATCTTTAAAGTCAGAGCTGTGAACTGTTTCTAACTTAAACAGGAGACATTAGAAAAGCAGCAAGACGACCTCAAAATGCAGAGAGACGCAGTGAAATACAGACTGAGGAAGCTCTCTGCTCGTCAGTCAGAAATCACAGTAAGTTTAAGACGTTCATAACCATTATATACGTACTCAAATACTAGAGTGTGCTACGTGTGTATGCCTCAGAAAAGGTCCTCCTCCATTAGAGAAAGTATTATTCTGAAGTACCAGGAGATCCGTGATGCTTTGGACGAGGACTTGAGGACAACGTTGTGTCATTTGGAGATGGAGGAGCGGGCGGCTGTCTCTGCTCTGGACGGCTTCATGGAGAAAAACTGCTCTCTGATCCAGGAGATAGAGCAGGAGCTGGACAGACTCGCTCTGGCAATGGACCAAATACAGCTGCAGCCTGAGACCACGGTGATTCATATACTCTGCACATACCCAGTGTAGGCTGAGGACACATGCATTTATCACTCAACATTCTAGAGATTTATTGTCAATTCAATTCAATTTATTCTTGTATAGCCCTAAATCACAGCAGTGTCCACAAATGTTGATAAATGTCCATAAATGTTGAATGTCAAGGGTCCTGGATCACCACTGTCCTTAGTGTTAGACCCTCCTGCATCTGCAAAAAAAAAAACTTGAGGATGTGGTGCAGGATCAGTTGATTCCATTGAGCAATTTCACATCTCATTTATATTTTGTTTAACAAGACTTGAGTAGCTTTGAAGATTATTAATCTTCACTGACACTGTATATTTATATTGTTATTGTAATGTTTCTCTCTCCAGACTTTCTTCAGCCATCTTGACCCGGAGGACATAGAGGACAAGTATAGTACATTATAACCGTACAGTGTGGTAATTATATATAATCAGTCTGTATGACATGTTTTTATTCCTCTGGTATTAACCTAGACTTTTGGAGACCTTGACCCTCACAGACCCCAATCGTGTGAAACTGGACCAGGCCAAATCAGAACAAATTCAGAACTTAACCCACAACCTGCTGCAGCTCATCCAGTGTCAGACACCACTCATCAAGAAGCTCCTGCGCAGCTGTATGTTCATAAGTACAATTTTATTAGCATTTATTTATGGGGATTTAAAACTGAAAGCAAACCTGAAAATGTCCGTGTCTGGGATCAGATATGACACATTTGATAAGATAAGACAAGATAGACTTTATTGATCTCACACAGGAGAAATTTACATGTCACATCTAGCATAGATAGAATCACTGCAAAAGAAAGAAATGTGCAAACATGTTAAATGCAGGATATATTATGTACAATAAAAAGTGGCAATCAAAGAAATAGTGGCAATAGATAGTGCAGGTTTTTTAGTCCTAGTGCATGTGACTTCAAGTGACTTGTTGTACAGTCTGACAGCGGTGGGGATAAAGGCGCTGCTGTAGTGCTCCTTCCTACTTCCACTGAAGGAGCTCCTCAGCTCCTCTACAGTCCTGTGCAGTGGCAGGTGTTGTCCATGATGGAGGTGGCTTTGACTAGCACCCTCCTGTCCCTCACCTCCTCCACAGAGTCCAGGGAGCAGCCCAGAATGGAGCTGGCCCTCCTGACCAGCTTGCTGAGTTTTCTCCTGTCCCACTCTGTTCTGCCCGGGGCCCAGCACACGGCAGCGTAGTGTATGGCTGTGTGCTGGGCCCCGGGCAGCATGTGCAATATTACATTTAGTTAATTAATTGTTGAATGTTTTACAAAGAGGACACCACAACTTGAAAATGCATTGTCCTGACATCATAGGTAGGAAACTTGTTTACATATCAATGCAAATTAGAATGTTTAATTTAACAATCTTTAGAAAACACTCAAATTTACAGCAAAGTCCGCTTCATATAAAAACAATTAAGAGAAACTAGTGCAGTGAAATCTTCCAAAAGCGATAACAAATCCCTTGTTATCTTTTCTGCATCCCCCACACTCTGTTCATGGGCGGCTGTGTGGCGTTTGCATGTTCTCCCCGTGTCTGCGTGGGTTTACTCCAGGTGCTCCGGTTTTCCCTACCACAAAAGCATGTACAATAGGTCTATCATGCCCCTTCTATACTGGCGACCCCGCTCCCCTCTCTGTGGAGTGAGAGGAAAAATGCCAAACAATTGTAAAGCGTTTTGTGACACTGGGCTGTGATACGCGCTATATAAATAAAGATTACTTTCTTACTCACTTTATATAGATCTAGATTTCTACCAATATCACCCATCCCTATAGTCCTTGCTCAAACTATCCTTTCACCAATACTTTTACTGGAACTTACTGGTCTTTCCACTGCCCAGACTCCACTGAGATTCATCTAAACCCAGACTCGGCCCATCCCAGGCTCCATGTCTCTCCTGGGGGTGTGAGCTGCAGTGAAGCCTGGCAGGACGTCCCGGACCACCCCACCCGCTTTGACTCCACCCTCTACGTCCTCAGCACCCAGGCCTTCAGCTCCGGACGCCACTACTTTGAACTGGACGTGAGCGAGAAACCCTACTGGGAACTGGGCGTCACTTACCCCACTATCCCACGCAAAGGTCCCACTGAGTTGTGCTGGTTGGGGCGCGGCCATGACTCCTGGTGTTTGGAGTATTTTGATGGTGAGTACACGGCGTGGCATGGCGGGATCCCACACCAGTTGCCCGTGCTGAGACGCTACTGTCGCATTGGGGTGTTGTGCAGTTTCCCCGCGGGACAGGTCGTGTTTGTGGAGGCGGAGAAGATGACGCCGTTGTTCTCCTTCTGTGTCGGGACGTTCACTCAAAGTCTGCATCTGGCCCTCTGTCCCGGACACGACTGCAAAGGAACCAACACAAAGCCAATATTGATCTGTAACGCATCATCTCCCACCAGTGATCTATGACACTGCTTTTAGGTGGAGATAATTTGTCAGAAATGTTAGTAGGTGACGGCAAACAACTAAGTCTTCAAATTTCAATACATTCAACAATACTTCAAACAATACATCCATATATAATGCATCGGTTTTATATAGCGCTGTTTTGGACTCTCAAAGACGCTTCACATGTCATTATTCTTTCACTCCATACACAGTGGTGATAAACTACTACTGTAGCCACAGCTGCCCTGGGGCACACTGACAGAAGCGAGGCAACCAGTCTGTGCCATCAGCCACTCCGACCACCACCAGCCATTCACACACACACACACACACATCAGACTCATTGTAGGCAATGGGGTGAAGTGTCTTGCCAAGGACACAGCACACATCAGTGGGAGTCTTTGGAGAAAGTTTAGTGGTGGACTCGAACCCACAACCTTCAGGTTCCATGGCCACTGTTAGCTCAATATATTGTGAGTTACGGAAATTCAGATCCTGTTTATTTTCCGTTTGCAGTATAATTTGGACTCTGCACCCAAAAACTTCCATGACTTTATTAATTTTGTATATGACTGATACTGATGACACTGTATACTGCATATATTTTTTTGGTCTGATAGAAATATTTGTAACATTTTAAAAATGTTCCATATTTCTTCCCCATTTGCAAATAGAACATACATTATTTGTAGTTTTAAACAGTCCTAGAATTAGCATGATAATTAGGTTGTAAGTATGGTAAGTATGATCTGAATTAAGAATTTGTCATATGTTTTACATTTGGAATGAGCCTCATCTATGAGATTTATCGAAGGAGTAATGTATACTAGCATTGCCAACATTAAAACTGAGGTACCTAACTAACTTTTTTCTTTCGTTAATTATCCCCTCTGAATGAGCCTAAACTTCAGGGGCCAACATGCTCTCTTCATATTTTTGTCTTCTGCATACTTACAGACTGTGAATAATTATTGGACACCTCAGGCCACCTTAGGACATCTTAGGCTGAGAGCAGATTGGTAGAGCTAAGCTGGTTTTATTTACTTTACTTTCCTGTCTTAAAGAATGTATCTTAATATGCAATGGAGGTCAAAAATCATGAAAAAAAAAAAAAAAAGCTATGTTGGAATTAGATTTAAATGTGAATATCTATGTAGTTGCACAGGTTCCCCAGCTGTAATTATTACAAATAAAATCCAACGACAACAAAACAGCAAACATTTCGGATCAATAGTCAGCCCACGCAGAGTTCCAAAGGTCCGTGTGCTCAGGTCTGTCTCAAAGAGTGAGTTTTTCGCGGGACCTTTCAGTCGCAGCTCTGGCCCCATCATGAAGCTCCGGCTGCTGCTGCTGTGTGTGCTGCTCGCCCTGCTCTTCGTCTCCTGTGAGGTCAGAAATATCACACCACATTCAAAAACATTATATTATTGGGAATTTGCACTTGGGATGTGTTTTTTTTTTATCACTCACATACTCAGATAGATATTTTAGTATCGGAGAGGGGGTTTAGGTTTAGGTTGGAGAGGGGTGAACACATGAACATGCATTAGTTTTGATTAAAAAAAATAAAAAAACCCATTCCATATGCTCGAATACATTTACAATCTTTATGATGAAAGTTCCATAGTAGGTATTCAATATATTAGTGTCTTGCTACATGTAGTGTTTTTCACTGTGTTTCAATTTCCACAAGTTTTTTTTTTCCTTTATTTTATGATTATATTCGGGAGAAGAAAGACAGGAGTAGTTAGAGTGACAGACAACTCTTTTCTCAGCAAGAAGGGGCTGGGTTCGACTCCCGATTGGAACAGGATCTGTCTGAATGGAGTTTGCTTTGGTCTCCGGGTTTCCTCTGGTGCTCCGGACTCCCCAACGACAAAATACATTAGATTATCTCAAACCCTCCTGCTCTGATAGTCCTACAGAGCATCAACACCTGAACGCCTTGTATAGTTTCACAACAATACAGTGTGCCTTTTAATGGGACGAATGTACAGGGGTGCTGATATGTTGCTTGTATGTCGTTATTTCTCTTGAACAATCAGATGAAGAAGGAAAAGCACAAACATCGTCACGGCCCTGGTCATCGCCACAGTGGTGCACATCACGGCAGAGGGCGGTTCGATGCGATCGTCGCTGGTCAGACCACACACACATTGTTATTGTTATCGTAATTCTATTATTTTGACTCACTGTGATAAAAACACATGGGATCTAACTGAGAAGTGCTGTTTCAGATGAATTTTTCCAGATACTTATAGGAGGCGGTGATGATGAAGATGATGAAGACAGCAGCAGTGACTGGCTTTATGATCTCCAGGAACCAGAAGGTAAAAAAAAAATCTGGAATCAGTTGACTTAATTCTTATTGTATAATTTGGGGCTTTTAAATTCTTCAAATCATTTTAAGGTCAGCATAAAACAAATCAGGTTGTCCAGTATTTGTGAGCCTTTCAACAATAACAAAATCAGCGTTTACAATTCTATGCCTTCAAAGTTCCGAAAAGTATTGCTTCAACAGGGATTCACAATTATTTTGAGATGTAACATTATTATCTGGATATCTTGTTCAAATGGACATGTTTCGTCCCAGGTCTCTGCAACCCCAACCCGTGCCGCAATAATGGAGTTTGTAAAGAAAAGGAAAAAGGCAAAAGGAAGTTTAAATGTGACTGTCCCAAACCATTTAAGGGCAAGAAATGTGAACAAGGTGAGTAATAACGTTGATAAAAGTATATTTTAGGTCAACATTATTCATGGCTTGTACTTTTTCAGGTCCCAGACGCTGTATAAAAGGCAGATGTGGTCGTGGAGAATGCGTGGTGACCTCCAGACCTCCGTACTACGAGTGCAAATGCAAAAAGCCGTTCTTGCCTCCAAACTGTGTACAGTGTAAGACAGACATTTGGATCTATCGTTGGCTTCATTTTATAGTTATAGCTTAGGACAATTTCAAATACGCATACGGGTTGTTTTGTGGCTTAAACTTAAAGTAAATACATTGGTAGAAAAAAATAACTGTTTATGTTAAAACAGTGTGAAGTCAACTTTTTCTCTCACATACCTGCACCTACAAGTACAATGGACGCTATAACATGTGTTCAAATCTTGCTTTGCACACACTTACCGAAATAATGTTGTACTTTCAGATTCTATTTGTGACCCAAATCCTTGCCAGAATGGGGGGACATGTGTGAGGGATGGCAATGACTTCAACTGTGCCTGTTCCAAAGGGTTCAGTGGACGCTATTGCAAAGTCGGTAAATATTACAGCAATCCTTAGTCACTCCGGCAAATGTTCACCAGATCCCATAAATTTTCTTTATAGTTTGGACTTTATTTTAACTTGATGTAGATGCACCGTGTCAATAGACCATAGTCTGCTGAAACTAAATTAAATAGTTACTGACATAGTTTTTTCTTTAGTATTGTGGTCCTTTTGTGGTCCTTTTGTGGCCCTCTCCCTTGCTGCCCGAAAGTGGCCATTGGGATCGTAAACACAGTGTCATCCAGCCAAATTCAACTAATGCCTTTTCAACGCATGCTATACCTCATTGTAAAGCTCAGAATCCAGTTGTTGACTTTTTGTGAGAAAGTAAACATTTGTCATTTGGCCATTTTCAGTTCCTACAAATGGGAATCAATTTGTAGGAGCTGTATGACAAATGGATATGTCATACCTCATTCTATAGTTCAAGACAGGCCAAATAGTCCAATCCAGATAGTGGGGAATTAGACAAGTCTGGTTAATTAAAGTGACCCTCTTACTAAAACGTTATGACACCACTGAATCCTGCCTAAAGGAACCAACCGATGAGGCTTGTGTGAACTCCACAATTTGAGAATCCGTGCAGGAGACTGTTGTGTGATAGTTCAGTCACCTCCATCTTTTGCACAGGTCCAAATGACTGCTACACGGGGGACGGTGAGTCGTACAGGGGTAATGTGAGTGAGACGGACAATGGGAAGGACTGCCTCTTCTGGAACTCCCACTTCCTCCTGGACTCTGGCACCGACCCCTTCGACACCGATGAGAACGAGGACGGACTGGGACCCCACAACTTCTGCAGGTCAGTGGAGACATTGAAGTGAAATTCATATTAAACATACAGTACTTTAGAGTTGAGAGCTGAAAACCCCAGTAATGAGCTTTATTATGTTCAGATTTTTTAAAACATGTTATTGCAGATCAGCAGTCTTTGTTTATCTTCACTCTCCATCATTCTACACACCATAATTATCCATTCTACTGAGAATATGAGTTCTCCTTTATAAAACCTTAGTATCAATCTGGATACTTGCAAAATTCAAAGTTAACTTTGTCTCTCAGAAAATTATAAGTATTATCAGACCATGTGTCTGAGCTTGGAGATGTTGCGCAGATGAAAATTACAGTTCTTTACCAGCTTATTAATATGTCGCTCTAGGGAAATCCCTACATCAAAAATTACACCGAGGTTTCTCAAGCTTTTCTTCACGGAGCTGCCCAAGCCGCCGAGATGCTGGGTAATAAGTGGGACAATAGTGTCCGGAGCGACAACCAGGGTTTCAGTTTTGCTGGAGTTCAGCTGGAGGCTTTTCTCACTGAGCCATAGCTTAATTTTGGACAAGCAGTTTGTAAGAGAAGCCAGCTTCTTCTGCAGTACAGTTGAAGATCATCAGCATACAGATGGTAAGAAATGTCACTGAACTGCTGGATCAGCTCGCCTAAAGGGAGCAAGTAAATCAAAAATAGAATAGGCCCAAGAACTGAGTCCTGGGGTACACCAGACTGCAGGTCAGCTGGTTCTGACATCGTGTTATTAGAGGACACGCAGAAAGTTCTACCAGTCAGGTATGATCTAAACCAGTGTTTCTCAAACTGGGGTATGCGTACCCCTAGTGGTACGCGGGCGCCCTCTAGGGGTACGCCAAAGAATCTGTGAAAAAAAAAAAACTTTTTATTATTTTTTTATTTTACCAGGAAAGTCCCATTGAGATTAACTCATTGACAGCCATGGATGTCATTTGAGGACAACATTGTTTTTCAATCTTTTCCTGTCAGTCTGTGTCCCCTGTATCATACAGTCTGGGGTTTGGCTGTAGACAGTATTTTATTAAGCCAGCAGGTGGCAGCAGAACTCCCTGGTTTGGTCAAAGATCACTCTGAGCACTCTGAGCAGGAGAGACAGAGGTGAAGCAGACATGGAGTTATATAGTCAGGGTCAGGCTACATTTGGAGGCAGTTTGAGCAGTAAATGTGTCTCCTCCAGAGCTGACAGAGACCATGTGGAGGGTCAGAGCAGCAGACCATGTGGAGGGTCAGAGCAGCAGACCAGCAGAGCACCTCAAAATAGCCAAAGTGGACTATTGCTAAAAATGCCAGCAGCAAAGTCCAGATATGGTCACAGCGCACGCCGGACTAAACAGACGCTCTGTAGATGTAACCACACAAAAACACACAAACGCGTGCATAAACGCACATACATGCGCGCCCAAACACACAAAGACACACAGCAGTATTCTATTGCACTTATACTATAAGTATAATCCGACGACTATAAGTATAAGTATTCACTTTGATTTATTGTCATGTATAGTGTTTATCATTGTAATTTTGTTATTCTTTGATTTACTCTTATTGACATAAATATAGCGCCACCTAATGGATGAATACTGGCCATTCTATCTGCCATAGTTTGTCATGGGCTCTACTTTCAATATGTACATTTTGACATTTTTTGGATGAGTACATTTTGAAATATTTGAGCAACACTTTGTGGATGTGTGTGTGCCATAAAACTTATTATTTTACATTAAAAACACTTTCTCAAAACGTGTTGCTGTTTTCTAACATGTAAGATCCTGGACATGTTTGAGGAGATGCTAAAGTTAAACTAAATAGTTTTACAATCAATTTTCTACAGGTTTGTCTGTTTTCACATAAACCTCATTTTCTAATTTTTTTGTCTAAGACTGGTGCTTTTTGTCATACTCCCCTCTTTTCGACTGGAGATCACAGGAGAACGAAACAAACTAAGAACAAACTTCTTTTTGCTGCTGAAAGTAGACAGTCCTGTCTTTCAGACTCTGGTTTCATATTTTTCATAGCACACAATATTCTGTGAGTCTTAAAAATCAGTGAAGTCATCAAAAAATGGCTGGCAGTCAATGAGAACCTCTTTTTCGTGTACAAAAATTACATAAAATTACAGATGATAGCAAGGGAAAAGACCGAGACTAAGGTTAAAGACTCTTCAATTGCCAAAAGAGAGAGGAGGACTAGCCCTGCCCTGTTTAAGGGATTATTACACTTCAGCCCAGTTTAGAGTCCTTGTGTGCTGGTGCGACTCAGAATTCAAAGCCAGAAATGAGCTTCTCTGACAGTTGTCCACTCCCGGCCATACTGGGGGACAAAATACTCATTAGGAAACAGATGCAGCTTGATAACCAATGGATAAATTTACCATTGAAGCTGTGGCTGAAATTGATTAAAAAACACAACTTTTTTGATCAGGTCAAAATACTAAGGTGGGCCCCTAATGACCCTGATTTTGTGCCGAGCAAACTGGATATGAGGTACAAAAGCTGGACTGGTCGAGGCTTGACTGCATATTGCACTTTTTTTTATAAGGAGAACATGAGGGATTTTAACTCTACTCAGAGACGTTATGAGTTGGAGAAAAATGACTTTTTCAGGTTCCTACAAATTCGTCACTACATTAATAATTTCTTGCCAAAGGATAAAAAAGTATTTCACACGCCAATCTTAAACATATTCATTAGGGCTTATCAGGGCGACTTGGGTTCTAAATTAATCTCTCAATTATATAAGGGCTTGCAGGCGCTCTCCAAAATGAATACAGAATATATAAAACAAAAATGGGTGTTAAAGGCAAATACAGCTATGACGTCGGAAACCTGGTCTAAACACTGTGCTGTTCAATGGAAAATCACGAGTGCAAATTCATGGAGAGGCTTTGGCTGGAAGTGCTTGAGCAGGTTTTTTATAACACCAGCACAAAGTTCTCACTATTCAGGCTCGTCCAGCTGCTGGAGAAGTTGTGGTACAGAGGGGGCCGACCACCTGCATCTGTTTTGGTCGTGTTCATTAATCCAGAATTTTTGGAACAATATTCAATCTGAGATCCGAATAATGTTGAAGTTGCAGTTTGCGTTAAACTGGGACGAACTGCTATTCGGCTGTCTTGACTCTGTGAATACGGACTTTGCTACAAAACGCCTATTTGGAATGTTAAGTTTAGCAGCTCGTAAATCCATCACCAGAAAATGGCTTAAGCCAGAGGTTCCGACTATAGATGACTGGCACAATTTGGTGTATTCTATTTTTGTAATGGAAAGAATAACCTCATATTACAGGCTCCAAAATGCACAATTTGACAAAATATGGATAAAATGGAAGACGTACATTATACCCAAACGCCCGGAATTTGTATGATTCTGTATAAATCATTTGGAATACTTTATGCACCCCTTTGATATTTGTGTTTCATTTTGTTTTATTTTTAATTTTTTGTCTATTTTTTGGTTTGTTTTTTCAAAAATATGTAAAAAAAAATGTAAACATTGTGTGAAGCAAAGTTTCTTGTAACAAATAACAATAAAAAAAGAATTACAGATGATAAAACAGTCACATACAGATGATAAAACAGTCACCTACAGATGATAAAATAGTCACATACAGATTATACAACAGTAACACACAATTTCATAAAATTACGGATTATAAAAACAGTTACATTTCACTGAAGATGTCTTAATCTGGATTTAAAAGCATTCAAGGAAATAAGATCAGATCATTTCTAGTCTTTTTGCAACACGTTCCATGTAGAAGGAGCAGCAAAAACAAAAGTTTTTTTTTCCCAGTTCTGTGCAAAAGGAACAGAGAGCAACAAAAGATCATTTGATCCAAACCATATGAACATGTCTCTGTGAGTAAACGACAGATAGCAGCAGCAGACCAAGCCTTAGAAATTAAAGTGCTCCAGAGTCCAAACCTTCTGTGGACAAAGATCCCACTCCAGAATATCACTCACAGTGAGGCTTTGCAGTTCGCAATGAATGAAACATTCAAAACAATTTTTTTCCCTATGTTTAAGCGCAGTCATACTGTTGTAACTGTGTAAAATATTACATTAAATATACTTCTTTAGGAATGAAACCTCTGCCTTGTTATTGATGAATACTTCGGCTTACTACGCTACTGTGTGGTGTGGTCATTTGTGGTGGTACTTGGAGAGGCAAGTATTTTCTGAGGGGGTACTTGGTGTGAAAAGTTTGAGAACCACTGATCTAAACCACTCTAACACAGGGCCTGACATGCTGACCACATGCCGTAGTCTCTCAAACAGAGTGTTATGGTCTACTGTGTCGAACGCAGACGACAGGTCTAGCAGGACCAGGACGGAGCATTTACCAGAGAGAGCCATCACAATGTCACTGGACACTTTTAACAGTGCAGGTCCTCAGCTTTCAATATATCAGATTTTGGATTAAGAAATGGAGAAACCACCCCCATTAAATGACTCGCGCTGGCAGTATGAAACCACCATTGATATACAGACATGGGACAGTTTGTGTTTACTTTGACAAAATTAGTCGCGCACGCACCTCTGTCTATTTTAAGGCCTTCTGCTGTCGATGTGATCACAACTTCCCATTTTATCATTAAATCACGGCCTAACAAGTTTACAGGACAAAGGTCAGACATCAAAAATGAATGTTTTGCTGTTGCTGGGTTACGCTCGTTTGCCCAAGTGCATTTGATCGGAACAGAGAAAGATTCCGGTACCGTTTGTCCACTGGCACTTGTGGAAAAAACACTTCTGCCACTTAATTTGATTGAGAGCTCCTTTGTCTGAATCACACTGTGGGTTGCACCAGAGTCTACTAAAAAAGTGATCGGTTTACCCTCAATTTCACAAACAATAGTTGGCATTTTCCTGTAAGCTTCATTTTCATAAGCCAAGTAGGTCCCTGTGTTGGGCCTGCCACCGTCCTCTAACTCCCTAATTCTATCCTCAATTAAGCCAAGCAGTGAATCAGTAGCAAGCGCGTCTTCATTGCAGTT